AAGAAGCGAGCTCAAAGAAATCACTGGTTTATACTAGCTCGTAATCAGGATATTGGATATATCGGTAATTTCGGATTTCTGAGAGTGCAGTCAAAGTGTAAGAGAAATAAAATTAATAGTGAAACACTTATCAATGTTTTATTTTCTCTACTTGCAGGAAGGTACCAGGGAGTCAAGTGCTTGGACGAGGAATTGCAGAACCTGAACATTAATGAAGCTCAGTAAAACTGTAATCCCCAAAAACTGTACCCCTCACTTTTTAAAAAGTCCATTCTCGCTGAATAAACTCTTTACTGTGCACTTGGTGTTCTGCTTTCATTAAGGTGTGCCTGCTGGTTGCCTGTTACAAAAGGAAAGAGGCTACAGTCAGTTTCTAGGTCATGGTGAGTTCCTGCGCCGGCTAGTTATATGTTTTCGTGAATTCGTTTTCCATTGAATTTTAAAGGTTTTTCTGGATGTTTTGCTCATTTCGCTGTGTGTGGGTCAGTTTTTGTCACTGGGTGCTACTACTTAGCTTATTTTTAGCCTGAAGTTCACAGTTATTATGTTGGTAGTCAAAGATTATTGTAAACCTGCAATCATTGAGCTAATTAACGTATACTATGCTAATATAGTAACATAGACTATGCTAATAATAGTGACATCAAACTCCCTTACTGTTTTGCCATTGTTTGACAGTGAAACTGTGCGCTGATTTTTCAGCATGAGCGGCACTAAATCGAACCTACTGGGTTTGCTTATCAACATTGTTCCAGCCCTCACAGGACATATTCAGCATAGACTAGCGTTACTCCAGAGCGGAAAGTTTTGATTCAGCACGCAGCTGTCTTTTTAAGCACGACCTGTGTCATTTCAGAACATAGTGGGTAAATATGTTCTTCAGTTACCATAAAAAGGCATTATCGAGGAATAAGTTAGAATAAATTTAGAATTGCTTTAAGCTTGGTGGAGCTGCGGTCAAAGTGATAAATCGTATTAATCACCGTTATTCAGGATATGCTATGAATCGGAAATCCTCAGCTGAAAAAACGTATGAATAAGACACAGATCGGTGTAATTTATAACTGACTCCAAATTGCTTTCATCACGAAATAATCAACCAAAGTATGCTTTAAACTGTCACTCTCAGCCGTTTGAAGGGAAATTTACTTGATTTATGCTGACCTAGTATGCACAAATCCCAAAGGTCATTGAAGTGATAACTTAAAAAAGTAGATTAGTTAATACATACATTTATCTATATATACTAATTAAGGATGCATTAAAATTTTGGGAATTGTAGTTGAATTTTATTCGCCTAGTAATCAAAAATGCATACATCCTATTTTGGACTTAAAATAAATGCATCGAAATTCTTGTTGATTTATATTCAGTTACTAGACATTCTCATACATCTTAATGTACTTTAAACACCACCAATGCATCCAAATAACGTGTGACTATCACACAACACTCATACCAAAAAAATTAACACGCCATTATATTATGGTAAGGTAAGCCCTAAATCATACTGACTGTAAATTTCCGTGTCAAAATAAAAAGATTACCGCTCTAACTTATATTTTAGACCAATAGGAAGCCAGCTAACCAAAAGCCAATCAAAATCTGCCTATATCTATTTTCCAGTCAAAGCTCCGGCCGCTAATTTTTCACTATGAAAGACTGATTTCACTTTACAAGTCCACAGGCATGGTGTAGATACAATACATAGATATCATTCTGTGTAGCATTAAACTACAATCCTGTATGTTAACGAGACAGGATATATCTGGCATGTCGTTATGTCAACTGGTTGAAACTTCATTCCACAAATTTTTTATTATATGTGTTTTTATTAAAACAATATGAAATGTTTTTTCCGATGACATAAACTGTTATTTACCTAGATGCCATACTGGCGTACGCGTCGCGCGGTCTGACTGCGGTACACCTTCGTCATGCCGGTTGTGTCTTTGTCTCAGGAAGGCTTAGTTGAAATATTGCTACAACAAGTATGGTGGAATAATTGGAGTAATATCACCTACTGAATTATTCTGCTTAATACAAAAGTTGTCTTTTTCGGCATAGAATAAGGCAAAGTTCTACAATAGCGTTCCGAGGGATGCGAACGCACGGGTGACCTTCAGCCAACCGATCATAAAAATGAGGAATTTTTGCACAAAAATGACGTATATTCACGAGAAAATGCATGAAAACATATTAAAAAGATTATCTTTCTCTGACATGACTTAAAAAACGTCCCAGTTATGATGAAGTGTATCAGTTTCTAACTTGGACTAGTTTCTATAGATATATTCACCGAAGTGACTGAAGATGTGCTGTTCTGTTAATCGTTCATCTCTCTTCTCTTGCTGTGCAGTCCTCTCCGAAGCCCTCGGTTATATTTATTTTTTTTATTTTTTGATTTACAGCTTGATTCCACACCGTATTTTTGGTACAAGTATGGAATTTTCAGCATGGATATCGGTAGCCCAAATTTTGCAGGCCAACCATAGATATCAGGTGTGCGCCGGCGTGGGCTCGAACCCCGGACCATGTGCATGGTCGGCGAGAGTCCTAACCACTGTGCCACCGACGCAAATCACTATGGTTTCAGTAAGAGGATCGACGACTACATACAAGGGAAATGAAGATAAATCAAATTAAAATAAACGACATTAACTATAAATCTATCCCTAATCGCAACCCTAACCTTAATCCTGACCCTAACCCTAAACTCAACACTAACCCTAACCTTAATCCTAACCCTAATGACAATCCTTATCCTGCCGTAAACCTAACTATAATCCCAATTATGATCGTAACCTTAACGAGATATTAACACATTGTCCAAACAGTAATTAAAAGTGTTATCTGGGTGAAACTTGCTCCTTATTTGATGAATAGCGTTGATTTTTCAGCTATGATAATAATAGGTGCCGTTAGCCAACGACTAGCATGCGTTCCAGGTCATTGGAGCGTTCGCACTCCTGCGACGCTATTGTTGAACTTCGCCCTTGTATTATATGTTCACACAGACCGATTTTATATGTACTTCGCAAACGTTTTTTTGAGCATTTGAAATTTGACTACCGCTATAATACACGTTCGTACTCCTCCTCAATTGCCTTTTGATTTACGTTGTGGACGTCGAGCAAACACAACGTTAGGACACAATAATAAACGAGAAGTACTAGAATATACGTGTATGCAAGTTTAGTCAAGTAACGCACGCAACAGCTTCTTCACATGTCAGGATTTTCATACAGCCCATTTTCACGTGTAGTATAGCATTATTGAACAAGTGAATGCCATTAATGCATCAAAACCACCTACGAATGCTAACAGAACCTGGACGAGAACAGAAGTCATGATGAAGATGAGTTATTCAACTGGATTTGTGCATGGACAGAAATTGTCGTAAGCTGAAAGGATATCCATAGTTTGCAGAGTGGATTCAGTACATCAATAGGGCTGATGTGTAGTGTAATTTCCAATGTTTTAAGACTTTGTTTTAATGTGTACATACATGGACTGCTCCAAATGCCATTTACGCTTACCCATTGTGCAGTCAACACTCACAATTTTTTGAGTTCATAATAGAATCATATTCGTTAGATAGGTTTTAGACCTTTCCACTTAGATAATCTCTCCGTGATAACTAGTCTTTTCAATTTCTGCCTGTCGTCAGTACTTACAGGTTAGGTAGTGTACTGAATTATTAGATAACTAGGCAAATTGCATCAAGTAAAGAGCTGATAGAGAACTACCAGTATTTAAAAAAAGGTTTATGTACTATTCAGATCCAAATCGGCTTGGCAGCCATTCACGACACCTGTTTCACCAGCTGTACTATTCTAGATATCCTCAGTATAGTCATTTACTACTCAAAACTGTGAACAGTTAGAAGTCTCAGGTCTGAGCTTGTTTAGCTTCTGCGTTAGATCAGGGGGAAGTGTATCACCATTCAGTTAAGTCCTAGTTGATTTACATCTTTAGCCGAAGTTTTCAGCTCATAAGTAAGACGAGGTTTCGATTGTTTACCTCTAATTTTGCAGGAAGTTTTCCAGCAGCTGGTAGGTTGAAGATATACGAGTCTCTGATTATTTGATGCTGTATCGAATAAACAGTTGTAGTGTGGGGATCTGGAATTAGAAACTCAATATGCTAATGCAGTATTCAGTAACCTGCAGTAAGAGAAATACTAAAGATACTGTCCAACAGCTATAAAAGCCGATTCAGTTCTCGCAACTAATTCTGTGTGCGACAGTTTAGAGTAATATTTAAAAAATATCACTAAAATATGAAAGCCTACGGGGGTATAGTGAAAATTTAACACAACCTTTGAAATGGTGGCTGCTGAATGGTAGATCAGATTGAACTTATTTGAAAACATTTATATATATATATATATATTCTGAGTATCAAGAATGTTCTATCCGTTCAATGAATGGCGTGTTGCCTGTTATATAACGAACGTAAGCAGATAAGGATAGATTCTGAAAATCAGAGCTAAAGTACCAACTTAGTTTCAGTGGGAGTGCATGGTGTCATCTCACAATTTTGGATAGACACCTATTTGTATGCGGCAAAACGGGGGTAAGTATTGTTAAACATTCTCCTTTCTTCTTCATAATTCCGAAATAGAGGAGATCATGCGTTGGGTTGATTCCATAGTATTGACTGTGGACATTTGAATTAGGGACAATATTATTGAAAACAAGGTCTCGTTCCGTACGTAAGACGAGTGGATATGAAAGTTATGGTAAACTCAGTCAGTTTATAATACTATCAAGCAATGCGGATACTTGTGTAGATGTCGCAATCAAGAATTTTGATTAACAGCAATGACGTCAACTTTTATGTAAATTTTAATTTAAAAAAAAAATCAATAAATTATCTTAGAAAACCCTGGATATGAAACATTTCTAGCTGTTGCAGACTTGATTGTTTTAGGATTTTTCATATTTTCTTGAACACAAGCAATTATTGGTTTCACAAGTGCTCAACTGCTAAGTAATTCAGTAATTTGAATGTAAGAATTGTTTTCTTTGTTGGTCCATCAACTCCTCCAAATGTTGTGCTCTTTGATTGGCTGCATCCAGTTCTCTTTCTTTTTTCTCAATTTCGTTTTGTAAGGTTTCTCGTAGCATTACAAGTTTTTCATCTTTTTTCTTCATTAATTCCTTAAGTCTGAAGAAATTTTTGGTATAAGAGAAAATATATTCATAGTCACAAATAAGCATGGACGATATTCCTATTTGAAACATCCAGCTTAAGTGAATAAGGAATAAAATGAAAATGTCTGCATTCCAGTAAGGGTCATTTGTTTGTATCCTAATATGAGCTAGGTTTCGTGCCGACTTCAATAATCACGTAACTGACTTAGGCCATTGTGTCTACCTAAGCCTAACGTCTTAAAAGTTGGTGCTTAGTAGACGCTGAAACTAGGTGGATCTGAGTAAATAGTACTGGTATACTCACTATATACATACTTTTAAACTTTTATTTATCTTTTTGGCAAAAAGAGTCTCTTCGCTGAACGTCTTATCTTTTTCATATGACTCAATGGGGATTTTTAAGCTACTTAAAAACTTAAGTATTTTTCACCTTCAAACAGAATGTAACTCAGTAACTCCAAAATTAAAGGACTGTTTTTAAAAGATAATTCCTTATGATATCTTGGCTGGTGTAATGCTACTTTTCTAAAAATTGAGCGATTTTAAGTGTAAAAAAAGTTAACACTATCACTGGGCTTAGTAATGTTTGAAAATGACATCGTTAAACGAAATACTTTAGAAAGAGCATTCATTACTTTTGATGAACGGTCTCTATTTCAGAGTTGTTCAGCTTTTTGACGGCTTCAATTTCTTTTTCATGCCTGTCGTGTTCAGCTTTTGCACGAGCCCGGCTTTCAGCCAATTCACGCTTTATCGACCTATTTTCTTCTTCCACAAGAACAAGCCGATCAGCAAATTCTTGACGAATCACATCAGAAATATTTTGACGTTCTTGATTTAGTTTCTCGTATAGTACTCGAACTTCAGTCAGTTCTTGGTCTTTTTGAGTAAGTTGTGATCGAAGTCTGTCTGCCTCATGTTCTTTGTCCAAAAATTGGGTCTGGGGGAGGAGGAAAAAAGTTGGAAATGTTAGTATTTTTTCTCTCTGGAAATGCTCTCAACGATGTACAAAAAGATGGTGGGCTGATTTTGATTAAACCTTAGGTGAAGTAGATATGGTGACTAGCAAGATAGTGTAATTTAGTCATATAAGGGAACTGAAACTGTAATATCGGCAAGTGGGATACGAAGAAGATACAGAAGAAAATGCTTCTAACACTATTTATAAAAATAAACCAACCTTCATCTGACAATATTTTTCCATTGCTTGCTTTTCAGACCTTTCAAGTTCTTCAATTTCAGTTTGAAATTTTTCTCTTACACGTCTGAAATGAAATAAGTAGTCAGAATCATGAAATTCACCTAGAGAAGGTTTATTTTAATCCCACTGTACAACTCTTCTCTGTGGAAACGTGATATCTTCAATGTCGGAACTCACTTGATCTTTAATTCCGCTTGGCGATCAGTTTCCTGACGTGCTTCATTTGCTTCAGCCTCTAGTCGATGAACTGCAGATTCTAACAGGCGGTCACGTTCTTTTTTGAATTGTTCTCTTAACATAGTTTCCCTGGCAGTATATTGAGATTCCAGTAAGGACTTCGTATGGCCTTCCCATGCCGCACGTTCAGCTAAATTGCGCTGATTCAACTGAGCTATTTCATCCTGTCGAAATACATTTAAAAATGCGGGTAGCGGAGTTTCAAAACTCGATTTTAAAAGCTTTATTTACTGATTTAAAAATGAGGCAAACATTTGTAAAACCAATATAGATAACAGCTTTAACATAATTTGCCTATACATACATACTTTTAGAAGATGATTACAACAGACAATTAGTGTCCAAAAATATAGGCAGTTTATCTGAAGTAATCTATCTTAAAAAACGTTTCACCTTCAAGTTCGATAGCTACTTATGATAGGTTTACAGTTGATTGCACACAGTTCCCCATGAAATAAGAGGATGTACTACTATCGACCGATACTTTTATTAGTATCCACTCCTGAAACTTGTAATTTGTGATCAGATCGCTCCTTACGCCCTCAGTCTTAATCGTCAAATCAGCAACGATCAACAAGTTATTATTACAGATCTCTGTTGTCTTGTCTCAGTGTCAGGATCGATTTTCGTTCCATCATATAAAGTGTCAGTCAACTCTAACCCAAATGTGCGAAACAGCTGTTCGGTGTATAGATAACCTCGATCTGGCTGGCAAGCACTATTGGTGGATATTAGTGGCATACAACTACTAATCCCAATCAGTTAGTAGTGTATAGTTTTATGCAAATAAAATGGTTAATACTGAAACTGTTGGTGTTCTTTATTCATTTATTCAACAGAAGTTGTAAAGATTGCAGTCACCTGGTTTTATAATGCTTTATTTACTCAGAAAGACTTCAAATAATAACATATATTCAGTATTATATATATTTTTTGAGTCTGGCCCTTTGTTATGTTATTAACAGCTCACACTTGCGTGAGGCGAAAATAAAGTATTTTCAAGCATCTTTTGACTGATGAACCAATTGCGTTTTAAATGATACTTAATGTTGGGTTACTGATATATAATGAGGTTAAACGTCATAAACATGGACCCAAATTTGGTGTAAAGAACCGTATAAACCCCTCATTGTTACCTACTTTTGGTCCATAGTTTGCTATGATATTTCATTCTATTTTTCAGAACCTGTTCCTGCACAATTATTTTGTGTAATGAAACTATGTGATGAGTGACTTAGTGGCTTGCACTTATTAAATATTGGTATATTTTTTAACTTTATTTCAAAATGAGTTCATCTGGCAATGTTATAAAGACCAGTCGTAGTCCCCATATTTCACATAACTGTGGAATATTTTGTTCGTGTGCTTCTGAAAATACAAATAACGATTTAGAATATGACTCAACTAGTTTATTCTCATCAGTCTACCTGCACAGTTTTTCTTAAAAGTAATAAAGGCGACTTCTCTCACAACTTATTTGGCCGAAAACTGTTGTTGTGAGTCAGTGTGGAGATTACTGTTGCTATCTTCATGAGGAAAACCTGGTCGACACTACTTGACATAACATTAGGTTGTTCAGATACTTTTGATGGCTCTTAAAGAAAATGGATAAAAAACAAGCTGAGTTTCATGTTAGATTCAGTATAGTATGACAGAGCACTTACCTTGTGTCTCTGATTTAAATCTGCTTTTAGTTGTTGCATCTCCTCTTTGTGTTGCTTGTTGGCTTGTGTTAGAGCTAATTCTAAGTTCTGTCTTAGGGTATCCATTTCCTCTTTTTGCTTGGACGCTGTTAGTGATAATCTTTCACGCTCATCAGAAATTTCATTCAACAGTCTACGTCGATGAGCCTCTAAAGAACTACGTTCTTCCGTTAATGTTTGATTCAACCTTGAATTAAAAAGAATTTTGACTTTTGTTTCTGTGATAATTAAATAATTTCCAAAACAAAAGTATGCATGTACATATTAAGGATTTAACAAACTAATAAACACATATTTCAAATACTGAAGTATCTGGATGGATAAGTATTTGGATGAGATTGAAAAATCTGCCTTTAATAGTACGCTCATAGGCAAAAAAACCACCACGTTTCTAAACCGATTGAAATGAAGGTTAATTCAGGACACGATATAACAAATCACTAAAAAGCCTTCACTGATAAAATAGTTTAAAGTATCAAGTGGAGATAGACAGATAGGACGACTAACAGAAGACAGGAGAAACACTCCCAAGATCAGAATGGATATTATCTCAGAAACTTAAATTACCACATCGTACACCTGCATATTATGCAAAAGCAATAGAACTGGTGACGAAGAAATGAAAGTCGTAAGTGAACATGTCACATATGTAAGAAAAAGAACATTTGGTGATACTTTTATAATAAAGGAAACTTCTGAAAGCATCCTTAGTCCATTAAGCATCACACTAGCTGCTGTTTCCAACCATATATTTCAATCGTCAGTTGGATTTCGGTTTATAGGGATTTGTAACTTCTCTGACTGACTTGTCATACCTAGTATTCTCTTTCGTTCTGATAGTGTTCTGTGAGAAACTTAAACGCCTGGACGTTTGTAAAAACTAGAACTATTCTGTCGAATCTTGACGACAGTTCATTTGAATTAAATGCCTGGAGTTCTGAGCCTTAGTCTACATTTATTTATCTGTTTTACATACTAAGGCTTATGATGTCTAAGTTAATAAAACATGCTAAGATTATTGTGTTTGACCAGATGCATAGTGAAATTATGTTTGTTAATAGTTAATTTTAGAACTAGATGCCCTCTGAAATTTTCAGCAAATTTTCAGTTTATCAAGATCGACAGATAAAGCTTCATCTTTTGAAGGCCATTAATCAAAATGTACACAATAGACCTGTGGATTACCTCACTATGCTACGCCTGATAATAACGAAATGACTAAATGAACAACACTGCAATGATATGTCAGCAAATTAAAATAAAGATTTTCTATAGTTTGGTTTGTAAGCGTTAGTTATGTTTTTACGAGTTGATCACGGACTGATATCAGTTACAAAACCATTGAAAACCAGGGAGCACTAGACAGCTGCTGTTTCATCCCAATTTGGGAATCATCGGCAGTACGCACCCACTGGGATTTGAACCCAGAACCTTCCGGTTATAAGGAGAGCTCATATACCATTCAGCCACTGGGACTCGATTCAATGGCTCATGGATTCTGACTCCTACAGATTCGTGATTTAGCGCGACCCCAACTATTGTCGTAGGTGAGATATCCATATTCACATGTCACGATTTCTCACTTGAACTCAGGAAACTCCAACCTGTAGCAAGTCACTAGCGAGCATCAGATTAATTTTCTATAGTTTTGTTTATAAGCGTTAGTTATGTTTTTATGATTTGATCACGGATTGATATCACTTACAGAACCATTCTCACGTGGATGGATGGATGTCCCACCAACGACAATGGTTGTGGTCGCGCTAAATCGCGAATCGGTAGGGGTTAGAATTCATGAGCCATTGAATCGAGTCCCAGTGGCTGAATGGTATATGAGCTCTCCTTATAACCGGAAGGTTCTGGGTTCAAATCCCAGTGGGTGCGTACTGCCGATGATTCCCAAATTGGGATGAAACAGCAGCTGTCTAGTGCTCCCTGGTTTTCAATGGTTTTGTAACTGATATCAGTCCGTGATCAACTCGTAAAAACATAACTAACGCTTACAAAGCAAACTATAGAAAATGAAAATGCCAGTACAGTCATGGATAAAAAAATGTTAACAGACTGTGGAAGACAAGAAAATTATCTGCTTAAATTCAGTACATCGGATTTCAGCTGTATTGTTGAGTGTCAACTATTCTCAGTTGTTTCGATAGATAAATAAATAAAAGCTTGTCCAATATATCAGCATAATTCTACTACCCTTATCACAAATGAGGAAGAAGTTCGAAAACTATAGAAATCATGTTCCAAGGTTGCGTAGTTATAAATGATGAAATGTGTTTGAAATGTCATCGACTAAATTATACTGTTTCACGGTGTGATATACCCAATAAACTAATTATTATGAAGTTCCCGGCTACCACACTGTTCAAGTTTTACACATACATTAAACCTTTGTTTTTGATAAGTATGTTACTCTTCAAGCTTTTGGTTTCGTTGGTAGTAACTTCATGAACTTCTTTTCTTACAGCTAAGTATGAGCTGTCTATGTTTATCACAATAATGGACGCATATATTTTCAAATATATGTCAGCCTTCATTAGTCGCTCGAAATACATCTAGAGTGCTGGCCATCCAATATATATTCACACATTTTGTTATTACTATCATACCCTGGAATAAAGACATATATTTATGAACAAGAAGAAAGTAGGCATTTGGACACTTTCAACAACTAAATGTGACATTTTTATTCAGTACTAAGTTTTAAAAATTTTCCAGTGTAAGGTGTATGTCTTTTATAAGCACCAACAAGACACTAACACCACCTGTTTTGAATACCTTTGTTCAGCAATCTCTCGTTCTTTAGAGCAAGCCTCTTCCTTTTCCTTGATCAGTGTTTGTCTCAATTCTTCAATATGATTTGTATAAGCCTGAAAGGCTCGTACATCAGCGGCTTGAATCTGTTCAGCATATGTTTGACGCAACTGTGCTACTTCTGCCTTGTGATTAGCTATCATCTGAGCAACTTCGTTTTCCATGCCACGAATAGTCACTTCCTATTCCACAAAAAACAAAAAAAATCAATGACTGGGATTTAAATAACTTTAGTGCAGAATGTGAACTTTTGCGTTTATTTAGAACCAGTTTGAAAATAATATACATGATTTGAAACAAAAGACAATCATTAATTTTCTTCCACAACTTTCACTTCCGTGTATTCATATCAGTTATTTAAAGAATTAATGTGCTGTAACAAGAGTAAGATTTCTATGACACAGAATGGGCATCAGAAGAGTTAAATGGTTCTTTGCTGATCTCCAAATAAATTTGATAATAGAAAAGGATGAAGATACGTAAAGTCTACTTATTCATGAATTATTAACACATTATTCTTTCTGTAGTCAATTTTATTAATTCTAATCAGAAAACGCAAGCAAATCAATGACTTCAAAGCTCATATTTTATGAATTACATTCTCATTTTATCGGAATGGAAAGTTGTATATCGAGGATTGGTAAGAGTACCTACTACTAACAGTGGACGCTGAATCAGATATACGGACTTTGAAAGTTAGTTGGAATCATATATGAATAATTAGGTGTTTTTAAAAAGCTTACCATCCATTCTAATCGATTTCTAAGTAACTTTTTTTTCCTTCACGTTCCCCAGTGGAATATAGGGCTTTAAGCTAGTGGTTTGAAGTTTCTATAACAGCGTTTATTTTACAGGATGGGGTTGCTAGCCTCATGCCCAAACTTTCCTCTTTACTAGCATTATTTCTGGCTTAGTGAGGTAGAGGAGTGCGTCGGCCGGGGATCGAACCCCTGATCATGTGCATGGTCAGCGAGCGTCCAAACCGCTATGCCATCGACGCACTAAATAACTTTACGATGAAATAAAAGGCTCTCTTACTATCAAATGTGAAGTGAAAATTCACGTGGTAGTGTAAAGACCATGTAAGCTTGTCGTTCTCAAACCACCGGTAGTGTAATACCAGTAAGAATATCCAAATCGTTTCTGATGACACAGTCCCGATTTTCGCCGACACGTTTAGAGATATAGTCCTTCAGTGGTAATTACTGTCACCCAAACTTGTTAGAAATATTTGAATAAATAAATATCAGATACTACGACTATCAGTTATTTGCATTTAATTATGGCTATTAAATTATGATGAAGCATTTGTGGGTATTGTCTACACAAATATTGGCCTATTCGAAAACCGGAAACTGGTTAACTGTTAGAGAAATTGAATTTATTAAGTTACTCACTTTGAAATGTTTCGCCTTTTCTGCTTCCCATTTTTCTCGACGTACTTTTTCAGCTGCTGCATGTTTAGCTTCTAGTTTTCGAAGTTCAACCTTATGTCTAAACAAGAGTGAATGAAAAAATCCCAGATACACTACAAATTGTGGATTAGGTATGCTTTTTGAGATGCCTTTGGGCACTGAAGTTAACGGATATTTTCTGAAGACTGAGATATTTAGAGACTAAAACAATCTCAGTGTTTACCATTCAATAACCAAACTTTTAATAGAAATCGGACTAAAACAGGTGATGCGGTCATACAGGTGGCTTTTATACCATCTACCGTTTCTTTGTTCTGCGACTAATTGAATTAGGCCTATAGAGCTACTTCATAAAATGAGAGAAACTTCTGTTCCTTTAATATCTGCGTATGCGTCACAACACTTTGATTCAAGAATTTACCGAATATAAATTAAATTTAAAGTGATGGCTAGCATGCAAGATTTTTTGTCTATTCTACTACCCAAAGGAATATAAAAATGGGTGTTCTTGATAAAGTGACTTGTCTCCTGTACTGGTTTTCTCTCTAGCTGTTTAATTTTTACTTTCCTTTTACTGTTCTCTCATTTCTTAGTGATTATTTTGTAAGACCTGTGTGTTCAAAGAACAGTAATTATATAGATGGATATCACTATATGCTGCGTGAAGTAAACGAACTTACGGTAAATTCCCACTTGTCAGTCAATATTAAATCAAGTAAATTTTTTGATGAACATTGGAAGACTGATAATTGTTCCAATGGATGCTATGGACATTTAAAGGTATTGAAATTTTGAACTGTGAAGGTGGCAACTAGAACCTTTGCATAACCTAAACAGGTTGCGGTTATAAATCTTGACAGTCAATACACATGAGAATATTCAAGTATTGGTGTGTAGGGATTTGGTTGATGGGTTACAAGATTTAATCATAAGCTGACATCAGTTAGAGAACCATTGGAAAACCTGCAGGGAGTACTTACAGACAGCTGTTTCCTCCGTCCTGGCTTGGTGCTCTTCAGTAGTATCGCTCACGGAGATCCAAACCCAAAACATTCTGGTTACAAGGTGAACTCGTAGACCATTAAGCCACTGAGATTCGATCCAATGGCGTAGTAGGGTACAGCAGGTCGGGTGTGAGGACAAATACTCGCCAGCGGTGACATTAGCTAGTGGTTGCGTAATGTTGTGAGTTGGCAGAAGTTGGAATTCATGCACCGGCCATTGAAGAGTCAGATCCCAGTGCTTTAATGGTCTTCAAAGTCGCCTTGTAACCAAAAGGTCCTGGGTCCGAACCTCCATGCGTGCGTATTGATGAAGACTCTCAATTAGGTTGGGGAAACAGCTGTCTGGCAGTTATCCCTGCAAGTTTTCCAATGGTTCTGTGACCGATGTCAGCTCATGATGAGATCTTGCACACAAGAATCCTTTTCTGATGTAAGTGTAGAACTTGGGCATTGTGCTAAGATGTAATTCCATGTTAGATAAGTTTATTTTAAATATCACACACTGATGCAGTATTAACAACTGGATGTAGTTTCGAGCCTAAATTATTGCTCATAATCATATCAGTTTTAGTCGCACAGTTTCACAATTTGTCTTACATGTATTTTCTCTCTTTCTGTCTATCCAACATCCCTCTATTGTGTGTTGCCACTTTCCATATCTCCAGCATAGGCGTTGCGTCATTCTGATTGCACGTGTGAGATGTTAAATCGACAAACAAAGTTCCAGTGGCTAACCTCTCTCTCCACCTAACTATGTTACTTTTTAATACCCTCACCCTGTACCACCCTACTTTGTAGCCTGTGTAGTACTGCCATAAAAAGAAGGAACGTCAGGGGCCCTACTTAGGTTTCTCAATGAGGTTGGAGTTAGGGTGGCATTTAAACCAACCAATTCTTTCAGAGACAAACTTTGTCTGTCGATTTAAGGACCCAAAAGATCCAGTTAAGAAAAGTAATATAATTTACCAAATACAATTTAATGACTGTGAGGTCAGTTACATAGGTCAAACTAGTAGATCGGGGTTAGCTAGATTATTGGGACAAAGTATTTTAGCTAGACCTAGAATATAAGAACTAAAAAGTTCAGCGAAGAGTCTCTTTTCGCTGAATTCATTCACATAGCTGTACAATCGCATTTATATATATAATTTTTTTGTGTGTTTGTGTGTGTACAGTAGGGTCGTCAAACAAAAAAATAAAAATAACTTTAGGTTACTGTTTACGTCATCAACATGTTTCTTAAAATGCAATGGATAATCAAAATTGTAACTAGGAGTGGGAAGACTGGTAAGCATAGACAAGGGTTGCGTAATATGAAGTAGGATGCTAATGGAGACGTATGTCCAAAATGTAGATTACGTAATAGGTAGAAAGGGTAAATATAGTGTTGGTTAAGAAATGTTATTAAGATGCCATACAAAAATTCAAAAAACAAAACGTTATTAACTAAGTCGTAGAATTTGGAGTTATACCCAGGGTAGAAAGAGGGGCTGAAATTTCTTCTGTGTGTATAAATAAGGGTTTTCTATCCGGATCGCTAAGGCGTCGGCAGTGCAAAGTATACGTAAGCTTGTCGTTTTCACGAGGCTTCTTTTGACTTTGTAGATGACTTTGAATGAGTTCTCTTTGCCTACTGAATGACCAGTGTTGACTATATGTTGAATTACAGCACTCTTTACTGATCCACTGTTACTGTTTCGTAGCCAATCAGGATAATGCTCTTCGACTCTTTTGGATAAAACGCGCATCGAACAACCTATTTATCTCGCTCCACATGAGCAATTAAATTGGTAGATAAACACAGAAGTGGTAAAACGTGTTAGTTTATATTTGGAGTTGTTGAAGAACAATGGGCGACTTGAGAATGCCAATTGAAATTTTGCAGCAGGGAATGTTCTATTCAAGGCGTTAGACATTTTCTTTAAGATGTCGGCCAGAAGGTCGCCTTTGGTCTCCACATTTATGTATAGCACCTTCTTCGGCAAAGAGAATGGTTGTTCTTTGTTGATTTTCAGTTCTATATATTTATCTATAAAGCGTGGCGAATAGCCATTCTCAGGTAGTCTTCCTCAAAAGAGCGATCTCCTCTTCTACTGATTCGAGGTTGTATATTCGGTGGATTCTAGTGGCGAGAGATATTATCAGGTTCTGCTTGCGATTGATGTATACGCAACTGTAAAAGTTTGTCAGCTGGTCGTTCCATGTAGGCTTACGTTATATTGATCTCCTTAGGGTCCCATCAGTCTTGTTTATTAATCGTACATCCAGAAATGAAATTGTCTCTCCGGTTTCTGCCTAAGATGTAAATTTGATGGCAGGATAGCAGCTATTAAAAACTTGAAGGACATCATTCAGGTCACATTTGTTATCACAGATGATGAAAGTGTCTTCGAGGTACCTTTGTAAAGTGAGAAGTTGTTGATTGCCGGTTTCAAGGGACCATTTTCCACTGTGAGACTTTATCAAAACAAAAATTTACCCATAATGGAACCATTTTCCAAACTTGCCTTAAAAATATCTGCAAGTAATGGACCTAAAGGTGAACCCGTAGCTACACCATCTTGCTGTCTATAAATAGTACCATTGAATGTGAATTGAACGTTCAAAGTGCATCTAAGTAGAAATTCTTTTAACTTGGGTATGTGTATTCTAATATTCAAGTCGTTGTCCTCCAAGTAATTGTATATGAAACAAATCGTTTCCGTAACCGGGATATTTGTGAAGCGAGATTCGACATCAAGTGATATCATGCGCTTGTCACCCGCTTTTACATCATTGATACAACCGATGGATTTAAACGTGTCTTGAAGAGAGAGTATTTTGAAAATTTTTCTCTAACAGGCTGTAGGAGTTCTCCAGCCATTTTGTAATTGGATGGTATGAAGATCAGGACATGTCCAAAATAGGGTGCAACGGAAGTTCCTGTTTGTGGGTTTTGCGTTATCCATATAGTCGGGGTATTATTGAACCGGTTGGTCGAATGCTGTCGTAGAGCTTTCCAGAGACAAGTTGATCAATTTTAAGCTTTCTCAATATCCCAGGGAGTTGCGTTTCTGTTTTGTCTTTCTCTTTTTGAAGTTCGGCGAACTTGTTGTCTGAAGGAGTTGCTAGAATAATTGACCCTACTAAGTTAAATAACCTAGAAGAAAGCCTAGCATTGGCACTGCATTCAGTTGTATGTAATTACAAGATAGGGTGAGTGGGACAGCGTGAGAATATTTTAAGAAACATGTTGATGACGTAAACAGTAACCTAAAGTTATTTTTATTTTTTTGTTTGACGACCCTACTGTACACACACAAACACACAAAAAAATTATATATATAAATGCGATTGTACAGCTATGTGAATGAATTCAGCGAAAAGAGACTCTTCGCTGAACTTTTTAGTTCTTATATTCTAGGTCTAGCTAAAATACTTTGTCCCAATAATCTAGCTAACCCCGATCTACTAGTTTGACCTATGTAACTGACCTCACAGTCATTAAATTGTATTTGGTAAATTATATTACTTTTCTTAACTGGATCTTTTGGGTCCTTAAATCGACAGACAAAGTTTGTCTCTGAAAGAATTGGTTGGTTTAAATGCCACCCTAACTCCAACCTCATTGAGAAACCTAAGTAGGGCCCCTGACGTTCCTTCTTTTTATGGCAGTACTACACAGGCTACAAAGTAGGGTGGTACAGGGTGAGGGTATTAAAAAGTAACATAGTTAGGTGGAGAGAGAGGTTAGCCACTGGAACTTTGTTTGTCGATTTAACATCTCACACGTGCAATCAGAATGACGCAACGCCTATGCTGGAGATATGGAAAGTGGCAACACACAATAGAGGGATGTTGGATAGACAGAAAGAGAGAAAATACATGTAAGACAAATTGTGAAACTGTGCGACTAAAACTGATATGATTATGAGCAATAATTTAGGCTCGAAACTACATCCAGTTGTTAATACTGCATCAGTGTGTGATATTTAAAATAAACTTATCTAACACGGAATACTTTTCTGCTCGTTTCTCAAGGAACAACAAAATGTTGACTGACCTTTCTTCGGTTGTTTTAAGTCTGTCTTCCGATTTCTTGGTCATGCTTTTCAATTCTTCCAAAAGTTCTTCACACTTTGTATGAAGCAGTTTCTTCTCTTCAATTAACTCATCTATTAGCTTGTAATTTCGATTTATCGTGCATTCATAATCAGCTTTAAGTGATTCGACTCTTTGTTCACCATCCCTTTGTGTGTCTTGCAGTTGACGTAGAGATAATTCTCTTTGATGTTCTATGATGCGTTGTAAGCGTTTTATTTGACCTTCTTTTTTCTCTAGTTCTAGTAATAGAGTTTGATTTTCAATAATTGTATCACCATCATTGGAGTCCGGCATCTTGTATTCAAAAACAATGAAGTTATAGTTTACATAAGAATATAATATTAAATTTAAATGCTTTTACATAGATGTCCAAGAGAAGTTTTGGGTAAAACGTTTGCACTTCCTGTTGTATGAGAAACAAAATCGTGTTACCTTTACTGACAGTATTATTTGAGGAAGATATTATCTTTAAACAGATAATTGTCAGTCAAATTTTTTTGTTTTCCATTCATTGAGAATTACAAATTTCTTACATCAATTACTTTTATTCATAAACGGCTCACAATCTAGTCAAAGCTTAGAACGCCTTAGTAGTTTACCTATCCTATTTGTAGGTCAAATTGTTAGCACGTGTTGAGTTTCTTTACATTCAACAGAATTCTACACGAACTTTTATTCATGTTCCTCTACGCAGTAATCGGTTTTTATCAGATTGCTCCCAATTACTTGAAACAATAATCACCATTTTATGTAAGAAACTTGAATTAATTTACGTGGTAGATACTTTTCAGACATTTTTATTTACTGAGGTAGTAGTAATTAAATGGCTATCTGAGAAAATGAATATCTGTACTACGGAAGAAAAATACTCGAAGTTATTCTAACCAAAATATATCTTAATGGTATGTTATCTTTTATGTTGTCAGTTTTAAAACTCCTATTTTGTTTTTTGTTAGCTGCAGGAATATGTCTATTAGGGTTCAGTCACAATATGACGGTTACTTTGCTCAGTTTTATGATAAATTTAATTGAATCTATAATTTAGGACACTTCTTATTATATGTAAAAAGCATATGTTGCACTACACACTACAATGGAATATACTTTAGCAAGTATAAAATCAGGGAATTTTAAAGGTAGAGCTTTTCAAAAGCTGTGCAGAAACAGTGTTACTGCTTAATATTTTTGAATGTTAGATTCTATTTTCGTCTTTATATCACAATACTACTTGGTTCACTTAATGTTTTCACAAAAATAGCAGTTAATTGCGTTAAAGAGAAAAGATCTTGGATGTAGACAGACGTTTTTACTCAGTGAAATAATGACACAAATATTTATGCTGGCTGAAATTAGTTCACGATTAGATATGTGACAGTGACTAGAAATCAGCTTCACGTGGATAATAACAATTTTCCTATTCGTAACTGATACTCTACAATTGACAGATTATTATGTAACTGTGATAACCACTCTTAATACCTGAGCAAAACAGCCAACCATGGATTAAGATAATCACCTAAGTTTACTTGAATAACTTGCATTCCTAGTCAGTGCTAAGTTTTTGATCAGAGATACTATAAACTGATTAGTTACACTTAATTGCCACTTTCATTATTAAGTTACTTGAAATAATTCCATAGCAATTAGTAAGCAAAAAAAACCTTTTTGAATATTTCACTGTTCTCACTTCATAAACAAAATGGGATTTTTTAAATAACAATTCAGTCAAATTCAGGGCTTAAGTTGTTTCAGGAAGCTTATTTGTTTAAGTATCATAATGTAAATAGATTAAGTACCATAGCCGCAATAGGAAACTAACAACCAACAATGAATACATCCTACAATGAGGATAATAATGACAGTAGTGACAATAGTAAAGATGCATTGACACGAAAGAGGCAAGCTACGTGGATTTTTTAAAGTGAGTTAGCTACTCCTTTATAATACAGACATTTGAAGTAAAGAAGCTCTTAAGTGGTGATAGGCTAAAACTGAGTCAGTATTAGGATTGATAGTTCCACTCACTTATCCAAAAACATCTAATGAGAAATTTACTCATCCTGTGAGTTCACACAGTAACACTGTCTTAATAAACGAAACATTGTCTTCAGAGTTTTATTATGTAAAAAGACAGTTTAATGAAATTGTTCGATTTCTGAGTAATACCTCAGACTATAACGTAACATGTAGAGCTAGTGTGAAGATGCGAAATACAGTGGTGAATATGCATAACAAAATCTGTTACTCAATAAGCTTATATTTCCAGGCGATTAGTTTATACATTATTGTTTCATGTTTTCTGGATCTCAAGAACCATTAGGAAGGTGTATGTTATTTGGCAAGTTTTATGGTTTGGTGACCACATCGAAAATGTGATTGATGAGTTTCGGTTAGTACCAAAAGCAAGAGTTAGACCTATGACACTGGTTACTCCCAAGTTGTCAATAAACATAAGCTATTTTCATTTACATGGAAAAGATTTGTAAGAAATAAATAATTTCTTAGTACACTGTGGAGCACAGATGCCAATAAAATCGTAGGTAGATGACAAATAAAGTTTTCGTTGACACTGGATGTTTCTCTATGCATACTATTTCAAACAGATTATTTGGCTTGATCTTACATGCAAAAATAACACTTCATGGTTTTGAAATCTCAGTAAATGGTGAGTGGAATGTCTTCTTTTACTACAATGTCAAGTGCACTCTACTTTCTGGTACTTTTAGTTCAAAATCACACATTAATAATACATTAGACGCACATATATAAGACATTTCACAGTCTTAATTGTTACGTATGTACATTTTGAAGCTCATATCCAAGCTGAGCTACAATGAACCTAAGTGTAGTGGTTTTGCTTAATTCCTTTAATTAGATTTTCAACAAATAACAGTTAACTAAGATTTAGTTATTGTATATATGTAAACAAGTTATTCGTGGGAAATTACCTTTAAGGCATCTAAAAAAGATGCAGTGTCATAGAGATTTCGCATGCTTTGTACACCATTATTCTTGTGAATCGATTTATCTTCCACTTTTGAATCTTGGATGCTGAAATTTGTCAGAGATGTGTTCGAAAAATTCTTAGGGTTTTTAATATGAACTGGATACACAGCTTTTGCATTTGTGTCACTCACATTGGCTAGTTTAGGTGATAACACTGACTGATTACGAGTTTTCGCACTGTATGAACGCTTAATAGTAGAATTATTATTAATAGTCGATTCTTGAGGTTTGGAGTTCACACTGACATAATTCGACTTGCAAAAAGTAGCTAATTTCTCTCGACATTGTGAAATTGATCGGTCTAGTTCCTTTTGAGCTCTGTATCTAAAGTGAAAATGCTCCATTTGTCTGAAAAATATCATTCTAATAAATGACATAAAGAGTGAAAATATTTATGTAAACACTGTCAACATGAAGAGATATTTTGAACTGATAGATTACCAAATGACCAAACTTTCAAGACTATCCTTGGCTAGCAAGCTTGAAGGCAGTTAATGTGTCAAACAATTTCGTTTTTTGAGTGATTTGTAACTATAGTCCACAAGCAAGCTTAGTTTTTGAAAACAAAAAAACTTTCGAGATCCTCCAGAATTTCGAAATACATCACATGATACGATTTAGTAATTAAAATATTTTCCTGCAGTAACTTGAATTTATTTTTATTAAAATGTCATAAATACCTTAAAAAATATTTACTTAGAGGCTGAGGAAACAATCCCTTTTGAAAGCGAAAATACGGCATAGTGCTCGTTGATTTTATTACAAAAAATCACTGAAAAGCAGTCTGAAATGCATCTGTCAATGTAAGCATAAGGCACAGAATCAGTTTTATAACAGACGATTGAATTTTAAAAAAAGTGGAAAATTGTGTAGATATGATAAAAGGGAAAATCAACTCACTGATTCCTGATTTCCAAGTAAAACATAATAACAAAACTGACATGTTTACTATGCAGAACCTATTAAAGCATACTAAATTCTGCTTTGTGGAAAGAAGACAAAAGACTAAGATCTAAATGAAAACATCAGAAGTTCCAACAATAACATGCAGTCATTTCGATTCAGATATTATCTAAGCTAAAAATTTTGCTATAAATTTATTTAACATATACTAACTGGATATAATTTACTTATTCAAGAAATATCAGTCTAAAGACAAAAACGTAGAAACTACCACAGCATTTACGAATATTCCAGTTTTACTGATGTCCAAAAGCAATGCACATAGTTATTTCGTTGTTGCATTTATTTCTACTGTTTCAACGAAGTTACAGTATTTTTTATCACAGCTTGATTCCACACTATATTTTTGGTACAAGTATGGAATTTTCAGCATGGATATCGGTAGCCCAAATTTTGCAGGCCAATCATAGATATCAGGTGTGCGTAGGCAGAAGATCGAACTTCGAACCATGTGCATGGTCGGCGAGAGTCCTAACCACTGTGCCACCGACGCTTTGAAATGAAAACTTTTTTGGTAGACTGCTAACTGATTTTAGAGCTGGGATAAACTTAATTTTAGCGATCGGAAAAGTTAAAACAAGCGAATATTATACTTTAAAATATTTATATCTACATTTTATTTGTTGTGATTATAGAGAACGGTTTATTCGAGATTTTGCGCGTCAATAAAAACATAATGATATCAAAACACTGAGTTATATTTAACTAGTTTACACATATGCATGTAGTGTGTTTTCGATAGAGGAAAAGACAACTACGAGCATGAATTTCGCTTGTAATATACAGTCTGGGCATTCCTTATATTACCCCATAAGGAAATAGTACCATAGGCTAATTCAACATCTAAGAAATTGTTATTGTAAAAGGATAGATCCACCTACTTTGTATGCGAACGTAAATTTTCTTCAGTTAGCTGTGAATGGTTGTTTGTAATTGCTGTCGACTGACCAAGTGAGCTTGATTGAATGCGAGAAGAATGATTAGAGATCGAGGAATCAGGACGAGCCCCAATGCCATTCAAACCAATTGTTCGTGAAGAATCACAAAGCTTTCTGGAGTCATGTAAATCCAGTTCATCCTGTTCAGCCTCAGATAAGACGCGACTAATATCTTTCACTGGAAAAGGAAACATTGCAAGGTAATCCAATTGTCATACTGTGGCAAATGCTGATGATAAGATTTATATAGAGAATAGAAGCCATCGCGAGGTTTTTCCAAGCATAGTATAGTAAGTGTTACAACAGATATTCTACCTGCTTAAAAATGTTTATATTAAAAACCTTTAAAACAGCCAGAAGTAACATCTGATATGACTACAGCACTACTCTAGGTTCATAATAAAACATCCCCTACCTGAGGAAATTCAAATAACCGCCCCCAGTTTACCCTTATAATTATACTGAAATGAAAGCGCGGCAAATTTGATTTGCGATAGGTTATATTCCTGACCGTTGGAAAGTTGATTTTTCCATCTGGTGAATCTCAGACTGAGTGAAACATGTATTCTCAATTTTATTGATGGTCTTCATTGAAAAGGAAACTAATTTTGCCTATCTCAATGGCGAATAAAGTTATTTAGAAGACCTATATAGTTTAAAAGATTGGTCTTGCGTTTTTTACAGTAAACTAAAGCTATAGGATGTAGAAAGTTAGTTCTGGTCAATAGAAATAAAACAAGTAAATGAAATCGTAAACTGCCCGACAGAACATTGTATGAGTTCAGATAAATGTCACAATCATTTTAATTAAGGCACACTCATTCCATTATGTGTACTATACTTATCATTTCATGAACTTGTCACTAGACGATAAACCCTGAAGGTGTCTAATTTTAAATATATTCAACATTGTGGTCACTTTGCTAAGTAACATAACAATTCTGTGTACAACCAAGCCTAGATACTAGGCTTTGTGTAAACTGACATCAACTAATACCTAAGAAGCGTAATAATTTGTGGTAATTAACTGAATAACTTGGTAAAGAAGAAACATATAGATATTCTAAAATTGTCTCACTTCCACTCTAGTGAACCAGGGTACTGATAGGCATTATAAGAAACGTGTCTACATGAATACAAAATATTAAAATTATAACTGGGAAATACCATATGAAAGTGAGTGATAATAATACGCCATATGTATAGAATGTGCTTCAGGAAATGCGCATAACAGCCGCATATCCATTGATAAATTCTACACATGTAGCTTTATTACTTAAATTTACACATTTGCTTTAACTTTATGAACGGAGCAGGAATTCAACGAAGTAAAATAAGCTAAAACAGTCGGTTAAAAGAAGTTATGTGATGAAAACGTAAATACGGATACCATTAATCCATAAACTGCGATAAGTAGCGCCTTCTCCAGTTTGTTTATCTAACAAATTTATAAATATACACGTGTAGAAAGAAATGTATATCGGTGGTTCAGTTGTTGAATGTTTTCCAATCACACACATGGCCTGGAGTGCGGTTCCCCGCGGACGCATCTGTAAACCACACCTAGTTTACAAGCCAATAGTAAACCTGGCAGAGAGGAAGGGTTGAGAGTGAGACTAGTAACCCCATTCTGTACACTTTAAGCGCTACTGCCACTGAAACTTCAAAACTCAAGCTTGAAGCCGAATGTCTCATTCGGGACTATACGAGATATAGAAATAAGAAGAAATAATCATGCCAAACAACTTGGAATAACGCTAACTCACCCATCTCAGACCATGTATTTGGAGCTGCAGACTGTTTTACTGGAATTTGTTTTTCAGCTGTAGCAAACACACTGTTATCACGTATTGTGTGATATGTTGAGTCATCTGCATTCTCTAATTTTTTCAGCTCCTGAAGTATATTATCAACAGCTGATCCACTCTCCTTGCTATTTAAGTTTGTAATACACTGTTCAACCGGTAAACTGGAATCATTCATCAAATAGTCATCATAACCGCCATTATGAGCGAGTTCATCTTTAACACAAATTGTGTTCTCCTGATTCTAACCCAAAATAATGATAAATGTACTATACTATTAGTGCACACCAAATATCAATGAATAAAACATATTGGTCATTCATTTAATTTAAATGCACAAAGTTCGATCATCTCATTTTAGATTTACTGGGAAGCGATTCTTTCTGTCCTAATTTAGAGCTACTAAAAGCAAAATAGATAAAAAAAGGGGCATGTCTTCGATTATCAAAATCTCTGTGACATTAGTAATGTTTAATGAAACCAGTGGTGATAGTACCAGATTCAGCAGACGACTAAGCTGAAGACACTATGAGCCTCCATTGCTTGAGAACGGATTGAGATTTCAGCATATATATCGAGACACCTTTCCCCATAAGTAGAGATGTTATGTGAGGCTGGGTTAGGAGGAAAAGTGGTAAGGGATAATCAAACGAAAATATGATATTAATTAATTAAACCTGTGGCTGTTTTTCTCAGGCGTGCAGAGCAATGTAGTTTGCTTGACTAGGAAGCTCAGGACACTAAGAAACAATAATTTGAGGCCCTCTACTGCATAAACACTTTAGTGACAGGGTAAAATAAGGTGTAGCTAGCGCCAGCTATGTACAGAATGAGGTACGCCAGGTGAATAACATAAAAGACTGTCCTTTTTCAATGCCTTCTATTTCACTGGTAATTGAGAATAAAAGTAAATAACATAACTGCAACTGAAAAAATAGGTCATATATACATACATCAGTATATCACATATAATTTCTCTTATTCATTTTGTTTAAATTTGGTGAAATATGACCCCTGATAGTATTTTTTTACTCTGGTGACCATTTATAACATTTACAACCTGCTGATTTGTATGGAAAAGCATTCTGCTTGGTGGTAGCTTACCCCGATGTATGAAGTGACTGGGTGACTCTAAACTATGGCAACCTAGAACGAATTTACCTAATAAAGACTTTGACAAATCTCCGTCGACCAATCAGATGAGTCCGATATAGAAGTGCATGATTTAAAAAAGATGTTTATATATAGGTAATGCAATGTCAAAAAGTAGTCATGTGTGATAATATCCTTGTATATGTTCCAAGAAAACCTCCCAATTTCTCAAAGGAGTTCTCACATTTGCGTTAGACCGATTTCTGTGCATGTATTCGTCGCGATAACTGTAGATCATCGTGTTTCTTGACTCATTTACCGCCCTGATCCTCTTTTTTAAGTGATTTAAGAAACATTCAAAGGAATTTAGATGAGTCCCATTGAAAGGATTAACGAAATTGTCCATATCATTGACCAAGTTGTGCATATACTCCAGGGATGACAGTTAGCTACACGTTTTATCCCTTTCCATGAGCCAGTTGTTTAAGCGATACATAAATATTCGATTTTCATGAAATTTGCTACGTAATTCGTGTACAGCATCCATAATTCCCCCTGTATACTACAGACTCATCTGACTGGCAGCTGCGTGGTTTCGTTTTGCGCTGCTACAATATAAAGTCACACGATCTCCTGTCACTTTTTCTGAATGGAGAGCAAATATCAAGCAACAAATTCCGCTGAAAATTCTGCACTTTTTATAAACATTTATACAGATAGTCTAGACTAATAAAGAACAGATTAAATTTTATTATTAAACTACCGAGTGTAATGACATTTAGTGCACATTATTTTCGACAATAAAATCTTGCCTTAATACAACATTGATGTTAGCAACCAGCTTTGGGCAACATATACGCGTTATATGTTACGATCTAAATTGGTGGGAGCTTTCTGATCACTTATCGTCCCATTTGCGTCAACTCCTGTCAAAGAGGATCTTTGAACACAATGTAGGCGTATATGCAGGATGCAATTCCGTAATAACACAACTTTATCCAAAAGAAAATACACAGTGATACAGAATTTTTATTAACTAGTCACGTTTTGAACACAATTTACTGCTCATAATCATATCACACCACCATCACAATATCAAATGTTGCATTATCTGTTTTACCAAACAAAATTATTGTGTCAGAGATTTATCAAAGAGGAGATTTTGTGAGCCATTGATCACTAGAAAGTGAAACGCTTAGTGCATTAGCGAATTGCCATACAAAAACAAAATGCCAAACAAAAGTGAATGAAACTTTCAAAATCAAACAACTTCAACTCAAATCTGTTTGACAACATTCACCGTAGAAGAGTAATCTGTGAAAGGAAGAACTTAACAAGTGATGATATCTGAGGTGCATACTAGTACTAACGGGCGTCGCGTCACTTTTATTCACCGTATCCACCACTTGTGTTTAACAGGTGAGAAATAATATATTCACCTTATTCATTAAAACAGGAGTAAGTAATGGATGGGAATCTCAGTGATAAGTTGCAAAATTGTCCCGTAATCAACGAATGAAAACAATTTTTAAAGAACAGAGAAGGCTCTTTAGAATTCAAGTGCAAATTATGTGAACTGTTAGTCTAATTTTCAAGACTCCTACTTAAAGTGCATCAAGCATTTATTTGATTTTCAGAGACTGGGCTTGTGGCAGTTTGAATAATTTCAATAAAAAACGAGTCAGGTTGCGACGATTTTCTAACTGATTTTAGTCCGTGACGAAACCTACTATAAAAATATTTGGATACCTATAAATCAATTACGTGGATATGACTCTACCGCTTATCAATGTCTGCTCTAAGTATGGATGATTTTAAATTGTGAGGAAAAGAAATGATGAATCGGACCCACTTAACTGGGTGTGGAGAAAGGTGCTCACCAATCGCATTGAGTGGTGGTATCACACTAACTCACATTAACAGAATTTAAAATCCATGGGTCATTTGATTTCGATTCAATGGCTCAAGGTTCTAGGTTTCGTCCCTGATGGAACGGAACGGAATAGCTGTCCAGTGATGTTTGTTTCTGTAAATAATTTCTTTCTCGCTTCGCACGCGAGATGTCCCGGGTTTCATCCCTGGCATCTCCACACGCATCGATAAACCTCGCCTAGATTACTAGCTTGCTAGTTTTCTTGCCGGTCCCAAGCACAGATAAAGAGGGATGGTTGGGGCGTGGTGCTAGCAACTCCACCCCCGTGAAACAACCAAATCGCTACAGATACTCCAACGCGCAAATATATTAAAAATTCTAAAAATATAAACAGGAACCTTATTTTTCGCCGGAATCGGGGAAGTGAAATGACGCAAGCTGGTGAAAGCCTTCGGGAAGCCAGTCAGCCGATGTGCCTTCTTTCGATGAAAGCAACAGTAAGGATGGGTACTTGGAATGTTCGTACAATGTACGAAACCGGAAAGGCTGTCCAGATAGCCACTGAAATGAGAAGGTACATAATAGAAGTGTTGGGAATCTGCGAAACGGATGTGGAAGGTGCCAACTATCAACTGGAGAGACAATAATCTTTTCGGGCCACCCAGAGGACAACCACGAGCACACCGAGGGAGTGGCCATCATGATGTCACCAACAGCAACCAAAGCTCTCATGCAGTGGGAACCAATCTCCTCCAGGATAATGACAGCCAGGTTCAACTCAAAAGGAAGGAAAGTTACAGTCATTCAATGCTATGCGCCTACAAACGTCTCAGAACAAGAGAAGAAGGAGGCGTTCTATAGACAACTACAAACAATAATGGACAACGTCCCAAATAGCGATATCAAAATCCTGATGGGAGACATGAATGCGAAGCTGGAAGGAGACAATACAGGAAGAGAACTCATCATGGGTCGAGAGGCCCTCGGTGAAATGGACGATAATGGTGATTGTTGGCAGCGTTTTCAACCCAAGGAAATACACAAGACGACATGGATTTCACCAGATGGAAACACCAAGAACCAAATAGACTTCATCTCAATTTCAAGAAAGTGGAGACGGAGCCTACTGGACACAAGGTCAAGGAGAGGAGCAGATGTGGGTTCAGACCACTATCTAGTAAAAAGGACTTTCAAGGTGAAGCTAAAAGCCTCGAGGATAGCTGGGGATAGGCCACAATGCAAGTTCAACACTCAACTACTGAAGGACACAACCACAAAAGACACTTTCACTGCAACTGTCAGAGCAAAGCAGGAAACACTACGCGACATCACTGAAGAATCATGCGTGGAAGAACATTGGAAGTCTCTGAAGGCGATTCTCAACGAAACGTGTTCAACGGTTCTAGGAAGAAAGAAGAGACAAGACAAGGAATGGCTCTCAACGGACACTTGGAAACTAATAGAAGAGGAAGAATGGTGAAAGAGAAAATGATTCAATGCAAGGACGGACAGGAGAAGGAGACGCTGAGCTCAACTTACACAGCGTTGGAAAAAGAAGTGAAGAAGAGTGCTAGGAAGGACAAAAGACGATTCTACGACAACCTGGCCACTGAAGCTGAGAAGGCAGCAGGCAAAAGAGACCTGAGGACATTATATCAGATAACCAAATCTCTATCCGGGAAGAGATCAACACAAGCGAAACCTATAAAAGACAGCCAAGGGAACCCGATTACCAAGGAAGAAAAACAGATTAAACAATGGGCGGATCACTTCAAAGGACTCTTGAACCGACCATCACCTGCAACCCGTCCAGAAATACCAACAACAGCGTGCACACAACTGCAAGTTGACACCAATCCTCCAACGAAAGCTGAAGTCTTGAATGCAATCAAGCTTCTGAAAGCTGGAAAAGCAGCCGGACCAGATGGAATACCCCCTGAAGCACTGAAAGCGGACCCAGAGACTACAGCAGACATGCTGACTCCATTATTGCAAAAGGTCTGGAAGGAGGGAAAGGTGCCTACTGACTGGAGGAAAGGTTACCTCGTGAAACTACCAAAGAAGGGAGGCTTAGGGCTCTGCAAGAACTGGCGAGGAATCACGCTCCTGTCGACGCCAAGTAAAATCCTGAGTCGCATCATCCTGGAGAGGATAAAGGACGCACTGAAACAAGCTGGATTCAGGAAAGGCAAATTACGTTCTGACCAAATTGCAACTCTACGCATCATCATCACAGAACAAAGTATGGAATGGTAATCAAACCTTTACCTCAACTTTATAGACTTTGAGAAGGCCTTTGACGGACAGGGTTGACCGCGAAGTAATTTGGAAATTACTCGAGTACTACGGCGTACCCCAAATATTCATCAACCTTATTCAACAGCTGTACGACAACGGAACATGTCAAGTCATCCACAACGGAAAACTCAGCGAGGCGTTTAGAGTAAACACAGGAGTGAGACAAGGGTGCTTATTATCTATCACCAATGATATTACTAATTGTGGTGAACTGACTGGATTATGCGTCAGATAGTGGGAAATGAGAAGACAGAAATATCCTGAACCGACGCGAAGAACCTAGAAGACCTGGATTTCGCGCGTGGATGATTTATGTTTGATGTCACACAAAATCGAAGGCTTACAAGCGAAAACCGACCGACAAACTGGTCGAAGAAGCAGCCGGCGAAGACAGGACTCCAGGTGAACATAGACAAGACGGGGGTTATGAAAATAACCAACCAACAACAACAGCAGCATCAGTAGCAACATCCAGCGCCAATCACCATCAACGGGAGGGATTTGAAAGAGGTTACTTCATTCATTCACTTATCTAGGGAGCATTGTCTCAACTACAGGCAGTTGGAATGGACGAGGATGTTAAATCAGGAATCGGAAAGGCGAGAAACACATTCATCAACCTGAAACCAATTTGGAAATCTTCGTCACTCAGCTAGCATCAACGACAAAATTCGGTGGGATTTTCAATACAAACCGTGTCAAGTCAGTCAGTTCTATACGGATGAGAAACTTGGCGGGCGGGTCACAAAGAATATTTCCAACAGCCTGTTGCAGACCTCCATCAACAACTGTCTTCGCTGGATCTATACTGAAGATCAGATGGCCGGGTCGGAAAGAATCACCAACAAGAAACTATGGCTGGGAACAAACAAAACGAGAACCAATCGCCAGCCAACAAATATGCAGGAGAAAGTGGAGATGGATTGGGCACTCACTCGCTGAGGAGGCCACTGTGTGACATCGCGCTCGCGTCAGGGAATTGCTCGAGTGGAACCCGAAAGGGAAGTGGCGAGTGGGTCGTCAGTGCAAGGGTGACGTGGAGGAGATCGTGTGAAGAGGAGTTGAAACAGTGTGGACTGAGATGGATGCAGGTGAAAAGTACAGCAGAAGGAAGACAGAAGCAAGTAGAGACGTGCAGCTGAAGCCCTATGTTCCACTAGGAAGCCAAGAGAGTAATAATAATAAAGTTAAATTTATCCAACTGACTGAATGCAAACTTGACTCAATGGACCTAAACTTAGCAAAGGTTTAAATGAAGTAATAAAATCCCACTTATAATAGCAGATACGTGAAGTACGTCAGGGATTATATGCATGAAGGCGTACACTGAACATATAAGTGGAATAATAAAGCATTTTGATCAAAATGTTTTCACCAGAATAAGATTTGCCAAAGAAGAAGAAAGGGGCATTCAGTAGGCTTCTAATGATTTCCTGCTTGGTAAAAAGTAATATGATTAATTAACTAGAAACTCCAGTTGCCAGGAAAACAATTTTGTCAAGTTTGTTTTTTTAACTAAAACAGAATGCTTTACAAAGAAGCTGAGATGTACTGTGGGACAAAAGAACTGAGATAAGTGGAGACGGGTGTTTGTTTAAAATGTTTCAATTCAAAAACATATTTAGAAAATTTTATTGATTATTTTTTTCTCAAAAGATCAAATGGTAAAATACAAAATCATACAAAATACTCTTACACAAAAAAGTATTTCAGAAACAACGCGTGAAGCCATTTAGGAGAGATGTACCCCACAAACAGACAAAATCTGTGTGTCGGTGGCATAGTGGTAGGACTCTCGTCGACCATGCACATGGTTCGAGGTTCGATCCCCTGACGACTCACACCTGATATCTATGGTCGGCCTGCAAAATTTGAGCTATCGATATCACATGCTGAAAATTCCATACTAGTAGCAAAAATACAGTGTGGCATCAAGCTGTAAACAAAAAATAAAAAAATACGTAAATCATTCAGTTACCAGAGGAGAAATATCAAACTTAATTTAGGCGATTAACGCCATCACTATTATTATAAATATCCTGCAGCCCAATAATACAACGCGCTCGAAAATACAAAATGGTGGCTAGAAACTGTTACAAAGAAATAGGTTTTTTAATTAACAGTCAACGAATTTGTCTATTAATTTCTTTAGGAAATTCTCGTGATCTTGAGTCGAAGCAGTAACTGAATCATTAAGAACTTGGTATTTAGATGAAATGCAAATAATAGCAAGCTAGCCAGTTGTAAATCAAATGGCCGGAGACGGAAATGCACTACGTAATTCTGTTGAAACTCTTATCAGTTTTAATCTTATGAAGACTGAAAAACAGCATTCTGTTAGGAGAATCAGTCAATGGAAAGAGAGCCATGAATGATCTTAGAGTCAGCAAAACGCTAACTTAAAAACAAAGTGATATAAGGCAGACTATTGTAGAAGTTCATAGTGAGTACTGAGATAGTGAATGCTGATGTAAAAGCACTAACTTACTTGGAGAATTTTGCTGCAGGAATTGGAAGCTTTGTACTGATTCACCCTAATTGGAGAAGAAGGCTTATTCAGAATATTTGGTTCATTTTTATTTAATTCTTCCTTATGTTTAACAAGTGAATCATTAGATTCAGACACACCCTTTACATCTTCTTGCTTCTGTAAATTCTTTACAGGTCGGTTTTCGTGCAAAACCTGGAGGAAATGCAGTTTAAAACATATGTTGTATTTATTACACTAGAAAATCTGTTTTGGATATTTCAATACGCACTTAATCATTACATATCATGAGCTTTCTTCATAGCTAACTCATACCTATCTGTTTCGGCTTGCCAGTAAAACCCACATACCTAGATTTCTTATGATTTCATATGAACGACGACTCACCATCAACTGTAAAACGTTTAACTACTAAGTCAAATTTGATTAACAGTATATTTCCTATAATAAACAAAAGTTTATGATAGATGCCTGTAGTCACTCAACTTAAGGCTTCAACACGTGGGCTTAAGCTGACTTCTGCAAACTATCAACAAGTAAATAGTAGAAACAAATATATGTACAAAGGCAAATACAATGAAAATATTCACCATCACAAATAATGTTACTTTAAAGTATATTTCGAAGGACTGGTAATAGTTGTACATGATTTATTTTATAAGGAGAACTGACGTTTTAAACCGATGGTATATAAGATATCCGGAGAAACACATAATACATGGTTTTTTAGTTGTAGATCAGGTTAGTCTACTTCAAAAACAATATTCAGTTTGTCTGTTTCACAGAAAACACAAATAAATAGACAGGAATATCTATAGAATAATAAGGTTATTTTAACTGTCTTCAGAAGAACTCCATACACTTGCATACATCCGATTCGTGTAACTGAGAAGTTCCATTGATGTATCGTGTTTCCAAAAGAAGTGAACTGATATATTTCGTAATGCCTATACTCACTGGTAAGGGGATTTGACATGAAGTATACACAGTATGTAAAGCCGAACTACACTTGTTTTCATTCGAAATTTTTAAAAATAGTTAGCCTACGGTACATGATAATAGTTGCAATCTATTCTGTGGAACACTCCACGCTATCACAACAATATAACCATATGTACAGACAATTGTTGTGCATTCAAGCAAATTAGACGAACTTAAAGGATTTTTATCATCTCTAATAAGTGGATTTTGTAGAAATACTGGCCAGTGAGTTAAATTTATGAGTAGTCAGAAATAGAGGAGTAATGAAAGTACTCTTGTTTCTTTGACGTCTGGAATGCAAAGAACAGAAAGAATTCATGTGGATAAAGAGGACAGCGATTCAAGCTAATAAGCATTTTCTTGAGTTGCTTCATATTTCTTAGTTAAATATCAAATTGAATATATATATATATATATATATATATATATATATATATATATATATATATATATATATATACTGATCGGTATGATGACAGCCTTTCAATAGTATAGTATAAAAACTTCTGTTTATTAAAGGCTGTAAGTAGCGTTAGTGGTGTGCCTTCGACTCAACTAACTGACAGTGCTGTTGAAGGCCATTTAATCTTTGCTAGCAGTTGGCCAAAATTGCCGTGTCTGATATCGAACATCTTTTTTATTTGTGACTTTTTCCTTGTATATCTTCAGGTAAAACAAGAAATAACTTCATAAGAACTTATGCTCGTAGAGCTAAATATAAAATTTCTACCATAATAATTTAGCAAAGGTTTTCTGTGAGGAGACAAATATCAAAAAAGGAAACTATAAACTTTTTAAAATCAGTAAGTGAATTGCAAAATAAAGGCGAAGATTATTATTACATATATCGTCTATTACATTATTTGTTGATGATTCATTCATTATTTAACTGATTAAAAATACCCATTAAAATTTTCAAAAGAATGGTTACTGAGCAAAAAACACTCTTTTCGATAACTTTATCATCAGGCTCTACAGTTATATATACGTTATAGTGACTGAATTAGTGTTTTAAACAACATTATTGTTTAAATAACATCGGATCAATAATATTGATAGATTACCGTTCAATAGCGTCAACATAACAATAAACTGAATGTCAGAAAAATTAGGAAAGATAATAATACAAATTCATGAATTTTGTCGTCTCCACTGTAGGCTGGCCAGGGCAGTAGTAGTAGCTGGACTTGCTTCTTTTGCACACAAAGCACTGGTTGTTTCACACGAATTGTGATAGCCTCTGCTGTTTGTATCTTGAGGTACCTCGATGTTTTTGGCAATTTATTTGGTACCCGGTAGATGATAGAGAAGGATTCCTCAATATTAGCTTCGTGGCCGCTTTGGACCAGATAGTCTTATATCGAACTGCTGATGGTTTTCACTACAACTTTACTTCGAGCATGAAAAATCAAGTTCGTAGAGCAACAGCCGATATAACTCGCTTCAAAAGCGCAGTTGAACTGGTAGATACAATTGGAAGTGGTTAGTCTAGGTAAACTTTCAGTTGAGGAATCACCGTCGGTCGTGTAGACAATAAAACGTGAAGTTTACCAGCATTAAAAGTTCTTTTAAATGATTTTCTTAATTTCTTCGTAATTATTTCACTTGGTATATCGCCCTTGAATTGCAGTCATATATATAAAGGTTTCCTGTTTACGGATAGTGAGTAGTCCTTTTTAGCTTTTTCATCATGTGTTTTGTGGTAAATTTGTCGGGATAGCTATTTTCAATCAAAGTATCATATACAATGCTTAATTCATCTTCAGTTACTTCCTCTGAGCATATAGCTCTAACTCTGTGGCTGAGGGTCTTTATTACATTTCTTTTGTATTGGAGAGGAACGAAGTTATGAAATGTTTATGTACTTTTTCTTTGCAAATTTCTTTTTTGTGCTACTATCTGGTTTTCTTGTAAGGAGGACATCCAGGAAGGTAATTCTGTTTTGGGATTCCTCTTGGCACGTGAATTTCATAGCAGAATGTACTTCATTGAATTCAGTAATTATTGTACTCCTATCCGAATCATTATCACAAAGAATAAAAGTGTCATCCATATACCGGCAATAAAATGAGAACTTTCTGATAAGGTTGTTCACAGGTTCATTTTCTATCTTACTTAGAAAGAAATCAGGCAAAATAAGACCCAGTGGGGAGTCCATCGCCACCTCGTCAACTTGTCTGTACAGCTTGCCGTCATATTTGAAATTTACATTCATGGTACACCTTAATAACAATTCTTTTAGGATTTCAGTAAGAATGACAATACACTTGTTCACATACGTAGTTGACTGTTTCTACTAAAGGTACATTTGTGAATAAAGATTTGTCAAAAGATATCATGGTTTTGTCCTTGATATTTATATCTTTGATTTTGTCTACGAATTCAAATACATCTTTGACGCTACATTTCACTATCTTCCACAAACTTTTAGTTTTTTGTGGTTTTATTATCTTTTAAAAATTTTTATGTATCTATATATTTATATATTTATAAAATTGTTGCAATATGTATAAAAAAGCTGAAAATTCTATTCTGTGTGATCATTATTGTCTGAAATGAAGTGATTATTATTATTATTATTACATTCCCTTTCTCTAGTCAAACTGTAAGCATAATCTCAAACCATCTGATCCGGGTAATAAACTTCAGTCTTGTGAAAGCAAAAGGAACTGAATTTTTGTATTTCCTGTGGATTTCCTCAAGTGCATAACCTACTTTCATGGTGATTCAACTGTCTTGATAATCCTCTTATTTTTGACCTGTCTCAAATTTTTGCCACACTTTTCACTTTCATGTTTCAGTTTTCCTATTTCCATAGTATTTAATACTTGCAAGTTGTTTTTCAATTTCAGCATAAGGGCTAGTTCATTCCTTTATTCCTATATTTGTTTATTACTTAGAATTTTTCAAAATAAATTGTTTCTTAAATGTAATTGTTCGAAGCAGCTGAATGTAGATATAACAGGTGATTTTGAAAGTATTGTGTATTGTGATAAAATCCAAGGAGAGCTTTTGTAAAGGTATCTTTGTGCAATCCTTTTTATTTTTAAATGATACAAGCGATACATTGCATTTATGTAGGTTATGCATCACAAGCACTGTGTGATATATACGAATTAATACCACAACCTGGGATTCTTACCAAAATCCTAGGGATGACAAGTTGTAAGACAGGAATCTAGGTGACGCGAAATGTAACCTATTGATCTTAATGTATTTTCTAAATTTCTATTGAAATTTTTAACAACATAATCTTGGAGATATTCAAGGATTTCTTTTACTTTGGTGGAATGTGATTAACTAATGACATAAACATTTCAAGTCCTTCGCCTTTTGCTGAAGGGTGTTATATAAATTTCATTAAATAAAGCCACTGTTTGTAGAACTGTCTTGAAATTTGGTATTTAAGCATTCCTATAATGAATACTAGCGTAAGAGGTCACATGAGAATTCGACTATGAATAGGTTTATGTCAGTGGTAAAATTATAATTATTTAATCTCAGTGACATGAATAAAATGCTTTTTGTTCAAAGAGTGGGATATTTACCTTTATGGCCTCTTGACGCTGCTGCTTTCTTTTCTCTTGTAAAGTAATTTGACGATTTTGTAAAACTGAATGAATAGGTTGTCCTTTATTTATTGAGTTCTGTTCACTAAGTCTTCTTTTCTGGTCCACCAGGAGTCGACGCATTGCCGCCTCAGCTGCTAAATGTCTTCTTCTATGACGTCTCCAAAAATGCTGTATAGTAATCGCTGCTGCATTGCGTCTGTTGTGGTCAACAGAATTGGCCGATAATAGGTCAGCTGTGGACGAAACAACAGAAGGGGAAAAATTTGTCATTCAAAAAGTATTTTTATTATAGATGGTTAAATGATGAGAAGCATTTCATAGTTAGAATTTTGAAATTCCCAGAGATATATTTTCTTGAAACGGATCAAAACAGTGAACAGCATTTTCCTCCAGTACATACATTAATATCTGTGTAAAACTTGGGCATTGTGGTAATAAGTAATTCCATATTAGTTTGTTTATTAGATGTATCACACAGTGAGCGAAACAGTGTTATTTACTGGATGACCAGGTTTCGAACAAAATTTATTGTTCACAACCATATCAATTATAATCACGTGACTTCGAAACTTGAGTTTATAGTTTCTTTTTGTTTTCGCCTATTTGTCGTAGGGGTAGTAGAATTTTCCAGATATCTGGGACAGGTGTTGAAACCTTCCTATTACACGTATTTGCAGTTGATTCGACAAACAAAGCTTCTGTTATCAATCTCTCTCTACACCCTGTTACATTAGATTTTAAAACTAATAATCCCGGTAGGATGTATTGTGTTGTTAATGTTCATGAGTCAGGATACCCCACTAAACCTATAGCTGATATAAGAAATTCACCTACTTATGAATTATCTAAATATTTAGCCATGGTATTAAATCCCCTAAAAATCCACTCGAAATCTAGACTAACTAATTCTTATGAACTAAAACACAGATTAGATAATTTAAAATTAGATAATGAAGAAAAAATGGTTAGTTTTGACATTGTCAGTTTATATACACGTATACCAATGAATATAGCTATAGAGGCGGTCAGAAACGAACTCATTTCTGACCAAAAACTCGAACTTAGGACAAAAGTGCCACTTGAGGACATAATGCTGGGAGTGCAGCTTTGCCTAACTTCTACAGTATTTAAATTCCAAGGGAAAATATACAAACAAACTGAGGGAGTTGCCATGGGATCACCAATATCCCCAGTTGTAGCAGATATATTCATGGATAGGTGGGAAAAGATAGCGATTGAAACGTTCACCCCCAGCCCAAAAGTATGGTGGAGGTATATAGATGACACATTCACTGTACTTAGAAAACAAGATATAGATAGATTTTTCGAGCAAATCAACTCGAAGGTAGAGGCAATTCAATTCACTTATGAATTGGAAAGTCAGGAAGGGGAACTTCCAATGTTAGATTGCAACGTAAAAAGGAAAGAAGATGGGAGGTTAAACACTAGAGTTTACATGAAAACTGCACATTCAAACAGATATTTGGACTTCCAATCATCCCATCCTATGTTAGTGAAAATAGGATTGGTGAAATGTTTAAGTAACAGAGCACAAAAACTAAGTAGTACTAAGGAAAATCTAAGACACGAAGTGAGGGATATAAGACAATCTTTGAAACTTAATAGTTACCGTGATAAATTAATCAGAAAGTGTGAAGGGAAATGTAAAATAAAAATAAGATAATGATAGTAGTAATAATAACAATAATGACCACATGCATGTCAAACATACGCAAGGCAACACCAACAATAAGGAATCTAAATCATCAGTAGTAATTCCATACGAGGAAGGAACCTCCTAAACCGTACGCAGAATTCTTAACAAGGCACGAATAAAAGTGACAGTCAAACCCACTAACTCAATTAGAAACAAGATGTGTCAGTTAAATGATCCTGTGGAGCAGTTAAAACGAAACAATTTAGTTTATCTAATACCCTGCAATTTTTAGGTCAAATACATAGGTCAAAGTAGTAGAACAGGGGCAGTCAGACTAGCCGAGCACAAAAAACCTAGCAAAATCCAGATTGGTTGACCCGAATAAGATAAGAAATCTAGAGAATAGTTCAGCTGTAGCACTACATGCCATTGCACACAACAGGACAGGATAAGATGACAGTTTTAAAATCTAATGTCACAGGGTGGAGGGAGAGATTGATAACAGAAGCTTTGTTTGTCGAATCAACTGCAAATACGTGTAATAGGAAGGATTCAACACCTGTCCCAGATATCTGGAAAATTCTACTACCCCTACGACAAATAGGCGAAAACAAAAAGAAACTATAAACTCAAGTTTCGAAGTCACGTGATTATAATTGATATGGTTGTGAACAATAAATTTTGTTCGAAACCTGGTCATCCAGTAAATAACACTGTTTCGCTCACTGTGTGATACATCTAATATTTTCCCTCAAAGTTTAGAACGCTAAAACTACTTTGATGGATTCCGTTTAATCTCATCACTACATAAAAGCATGGCGATGCTAATAAATATTAAGCATTTTTCACAACATATTTATAGGCGTGATGGTCTTGATGAACACAGAGATATACGATTACATTTTCACATTGTTTGCTTTTGGAAATTAAAAGCCTATCCCAGATATAGAAAGCACAAGTGCAGTTTGTGTAATCTTACAGTTTCGTATTTTGTTTAAGCCTATAAGAGAAATACGAACTATGTACCTCATTTGAATTCATACTTATTATTTGAAGAGTAGAAATGACAGAAAATATGATAACTAGAGAAGTTGTGAATTGCTAATCAAAATGATTTTATTATGGCCTACCTAACAGCGAACTAAGCAACTGTCTGAATTTTTTGTTACTATAGGAAACCAATTATGTTTGAAGATTTACTAATTTGTACTTAGATTCTTTCATTTTAATAAAAGAATTCACAGGTGACTTGAACTTCAAAATTCTTTTTAAATAAATCCAATATAATTTGAAATTATGAAACACTACAAGGAATTTCTTTTTGTCGTGGATTGTTCTTCATAGTTAAACTGTATATCATTTTAAACTTTATGTTTAAACCTTGAAACTTTTGTGTTACACACTGAACTTTTAGTTCAGAAAAGTTGTAAAATTACACGCTAACCTTAGACATACACTAGGTCACAGTGATATTGCATATTGCATGTGCTGATATCGATAAGAAATAATTGGGAATTCAGGAAAAATAATGTCAGAAAACTTTGTGAATTAAAACAAACACTTATCCAAGGCATTCTAATTATCTTAAAAAGATTGTGTTCTAGTACATACATCTTTAAATCCAACCAAGGTAGAACATATTGCGGTGTACCATTGCGTATATTTACGAATTTAACTATGATTAAAACTGTGTTAGCATTTCATAAAAGAAACATGTTCAGTCATATTACACTAAAGATAAGTGCTCTTAGCTTGTCTGCTTGAATTTATCACGAATTTCTATGAAAAATATCTCAACACTTTCTGCTATGCTGATTCATGTTGCTCGCATAGGAAAACAGACAGTAATGCATCGTTACATTCTTTTTGCAGAATTCAGTACCGAATTTTGAAAAAGAAGTAAAGTAGAGCAATTTATCAAACAATTTCGTTGTTATGACGTTTAAATAAATACCTGTCTAACGTTTTGAGAACTGCTGAAACAAATACTAAACCTACTGTCATCATGAGGACTGCTTATTGGACGCGACATATTGACTGAATTTGAAGACGGTCTAACTGCGCAAGGTGGTGGGGTATCTGCCTTTTCATTGTTGTCTACATAGTATGCATCATTGCCGTCATTCAAGGTTTTCTTTCTATTTGTTGTAATATTGGAAAACTCTTCATCCAAATCAGCATCTAAACTATCCTCTATCATTTTAGCATGACTCAGGGAATTGAAATCTTCATTTCTGTTTTCTGAACACAGTGTTACACTGTCATCCTAATTACAGTAAATGATATAAATAGACAGAAAGTACAATATATATTCGAAAAACAATATAGCTGCGAAACGGCTTTCACATTCACTATATATTTCAGCCCGAAATTACTCCTGTTCTTGTAGATACTATCGTCATTAACTGTGGAATCTCCCAAGGAGCAGCGAACCTCTAATAAACAAAGTTATTGAAATTTTGTCGAAAAAAATAAATATTTTATTCACCATTCACGTTAATGGAGTAATGGAAAACCTGGATAGTTGAATAATTTATAAGCCAAAAATATTAGAATGAATATCCATCCAGGTTAGTCGAAATCAGCATTTCGGAAAATGGTGGTATATACATATATGACTAGAATTAATACTTGTAGACTGGACAAATCGACTTTCTGTTCACTTATCGTCCCATTTGCGTCAACTCCTGTCAAAGAGGATCTTTGAACACAATGTAGGCGTATATGCAGGATGCAATTCCGTAATAACACAACTTTATCCAAAAGAAAATACACAGTGATACAGAATTTTTATTAACTAGTCACGTTTTGAACACAATTTACTGCTCATAATCATATCACACCACCATCACAATATCAAATGTTGCATTATCTGTTTTACCAAACAAAATTATTGTGTCAGAGATTTATCAAAGAGGAGATTTTGTGAGCCATTGATCACTAGAAAGTGAAACGCTTAGTGCATTAGCGAATTGCCATACAAAAACAAAATGCCAAACAAAAGTGAATGAAACTTTCAAAATCAAACAACTTCAACTCAAATCTGTTTGACAACATTCACCGTAGAAGAGTAATCTGTGAAAGGAAGAACTTAACAAGTGATGATATCTGAGGTGCATACTAGTACTAACGGGTGTCGCGTCACTTTTATTCACCGTATCCACCACTTGTGTTTAACAGGTGAGAAGGAATCTATTCACCTTATTAAACCGCATACTAATTCCACTGTTTTCACTGGAGTCATGAAGTTGTGTTGATAAAGAGGTCCTATGAACGCCCCTGGAATATTTATTGTATTGGCCAATTAATTGTTTCATCAATTCATCAACCGCCAATACTATCCGTGTAAGTAGTTAGGTAGCATAGCAACATGGAATCTTCATGACGTCTCTCAAAATTGCTTACATCTTTATGCAGTTTTCTGCATTTTGAATATTTTTGCAGGTCTTCATCGAGGAATTCTTTTCGTTGCATTAATATTTGTTTGTGTTGGCTTTATTACAATTATTTTTCTTCAATCTGTGTGGTTGGTAGATATGCAACAAATTGAAATGATGGATTTCTGTGCAAAATTCTGTAAAGGTACGCCAGTTAGTTAGTCACTTATATAGCTGTTTCGAATTACACATCTTGCTGAGTGAGTACTTGAAAACTGAATTCTTTTTGATAACTGTTTAACACGTAAAAAAATATAACTAGTTTCAGGAAATTTTGAAAAATGAATTTTAAGTTTACATCATTTCCTACATAAAGGATGAAAGACAAAGTCATCTGTCACTGTTAGGAATGTTATACCAAAATTTGTCAAACTCCTAATGATGGCATCGATAAGAAGAGTTGGTAAAAATAATAGGCCAATGGCTGAATAATTGCAAGACAAAGTTGCCTGAGATAGGAGAAGAAATACTAACACTGTCTTTTTCACTTACGTTTACCTTAGACCATTTAGCATTATTAATGCTCTGATCATGAAAATGTGTTTCTAACCACTGCGACACACTGTTGTCATTCTGACTGCTCAAAAATGAACTGCGTTCATTCTTTTTAAGTGCAGTCGAATCTGTAGTATTTGCTTCATTTAAGTTGCCATACGTGTTGTAGTCATCTTCACAGAATAAATTGTCGAGTGCATTCATTTCCGCTTTAAGTGATTGTATAGATGAACCAGACAACACCCCAAAGTCATTTGAAGAGTGATCAGGATTTCCGATTTCTTGGTTGACGCGTCGAGTACGGCAGTTTGCCTGAAATATAAAACGTGAACAGACAAAGATAACAGGATATTTTATGAATCCGTCAAACGATGATTAGCACTAGATTGAATTTCTTCCACAATAGCCTATCAAAAACTTTAAAGAAAGTCAATCATATTTTCTCAAACAACTGAGGAACATATATGCAAAATGCTCAAACCACGGAGGGTATATTTTACTCTTCTCATGTATCAGAGTATAAAGGCTTCCATTATCTGGTACTCACAGTCTGAATCCATCCACTGTCTGACTTCGAATTACAATAGCTTTACACAACTGTTTACCGTTTTTAAAATTGAATGAGTCAGCAGCTGTAATTAACAAGACATATCAAAAAACCTGTTGAGAACATCAACCCATTCTGGTGCATCAGTTTCATACGTCTCAGTCTAATCGTGCATGAAAATGTTAGTATAGTAATGTGGAAATTTAGAAATACAATGAAAACAATATATTTACTCAATAGATAAAGTTTTTCATGTGCTGTTAAATGCTTATACGATAACATTAATAAATCCCTACTATTTTTGTATCAGGATAGACACTTTGTATCCAAATGATAAAAGTATGAAATGAAAAACCGTCATCATCATAAACGATTTTTTTCGAGAGAAATTCAAGAGTCTTTCTTCATTAGAAAACCTATTAATGGACTTATACCTACTAAGCTAAACCTATAACAAAAAGCCAAGAACACAATTAGAAGCGATTAAATAAAAACAAATCAAAGGCCAAATAAGATAAGTTGATAAGTGGGAATTCACTAAGAAACACTTTACTACCAGCATTGTGATAAAATGACTAAGATATCTTTAACACCCCACTATCACTTCTAGTAACCCGATAATAGCAAAACGTATGTTTCGATGTGTCTTTCACTGCGATGGAAACTACTATAGATTGTTTTGAGGTATATAAAGTAATGCTTTTTTCCTGGCTACGGCATCGATTTAGCCAGACGTTTTTCCATGGTCACGTCTTCACATTTTAAAAATTTTACTTTGCTTTTTCTTAGCCAGTCCTTTCTTGTAACTAATAATGAAATATCATCAATTGTTATTATTGAATTGCTGAAACACACATGTGTGTAATATTTTTAATGCATTCACTTCATCTCACATGCATATTATAATCACCGCAAAATTTAGCAGGTTCACACATGATAAGGTGTGATGGAATGTATATTAGGTCATTGACTCCGCCATAAAGGGTAAGTCCCTCTTTCTTTATCGCACTAACTTTTTCTATAAAAATCTTTTATTAATCATTAACTTTATTCCTTGTCTGGCAATAACGTTAGCGTATTCACCCCCAAATGTTAATACAGCAGAAATTTCAGCTGTTAGATTTCGTCACGAACCAAAATCAGTATAGTGATCACTGAGAACCCAGGAGTACTACATATCTGTTTCGTTCTGGTTTCGGATTCTTCATCACTGCGCACACATGGTTCCACCAGAGATACTGATGAGACTTAACAAGTGAAAATAATCCAAATCCCCACAAATCCCATAATATGCAGTGGAAATTGTTGATAAAAATTTCGTCGTAATACGCGCTCTTCTTTCATAGTCCATTTATTTAGGTTAAAATATTTTCATCATTTGCTCTTTCTTTGTTCACTTTAGATGTATTACTGCTTAAAAATCCTCTTCTGCTCAAGAGTCAGTTTTAACCCAAGTACTTATTCTGAGGAAAGATGTGGCCGGCTACAGTTAAGACATCTTATGGGCGACTTGTATACGGAAATTGCCTAGAATACGTCCTTTAGCAATAATACTAGGTGAAACAAAATACACTGAAAGCATGTCCTAAAACCTGATTTTAAATCTCAGATATAAAAAACACTTTCTCGTTTGTAACGTTTGTTCATGCAGACCATTTATGAAAGGAGAGAAAAATGGAATGATTATTTTCTTGTCCAGCCTCCTCTTCCTTCCTAAAACGGATGCATACGTTTCCTTGAACATCAGCTTCAGAGAGCTCCAGTGTTATTTCACACAGGTTCTCTCACTGGTGCCACGTAGTGTCTCCGAATTTGTTCTGATAGCTGCAGTGAAGTTGTCTTTGGCAGTCCCATCTTTCAGCCCCCCTGTGTAGAACTTGAACTGTGGTCTATCTCCAGTTGCTCTGAAGGATTTCAACTTCACTCTGAGGGTCTCTTGAGCTAGATGATGGTCCGAGCCCACATCTGATGCCCTTCTCGATACTGTCTCTTGCAGGCTGTGTCTGAATTTCTTTCAGATTGAGGTCAAGTCTTTCTGGTTTGTGGTGAGTCCGCCAGGCGAAATCCTTGTCGCCTTGTGCATACCCTTGTACATGCTCGTGCTACCTTTAGTCACCAAGTCGTTGGAGGAGCAGACATCTGCAAAGAGTTCTGCGTTATTATTCATTCAAACGAGAGCCTCGCAACACATGATGAATTCCTTCCTTGCATTGTCTGCTCCCAGTTTGGCATTTAAATGGCCCATTGGGATTTTGATGTCTCCATTTAGGATCTTGTCCATTACTGTTTGCAGTTGTCTAATGAGATCTTCCTTCTTCTCTTGTTCGGAAATAGAACCATGGTGCTATTTCTAAGCACCACCAACACAACTGCAGTATACAGGCGGTTTGTTTTAGACATACGAAATATTTATGTGCTATAAAACAGCATTGTCGTAGAAAAGTTCATAATTATTTTGGAATTATCTTAAGCTTGAGGTTCAAAAAGCATATTCATTAGTGATTTGACACAGCCATACGTGCCTGAAATTTAATCCAGAAATGAGTAAAATAATCCACGCGATGAGTCTGCAGTTAGAATTAAACTAGTTTATGTTAGATTTCAATACGGCAGGTGTGAATGATTCAACACGTGTACGCACATGGCCGGCGTAGGCTATTCTCAGGAACTTAGTAAATTTTTCTGCTACAAACAAAAACGAATCTCCGTGAAAAATTGAGTGGAATGTGAAGAGATAGTTGTTTCCTCAGTTTAAGAGACAAATACATTAGTTATGAGTTAAAATTATAACTAATTGCTTCATATAATTTTGTCGAAACGTGTTAGTCATCAGGCACCAAACTGCAAAATTTAAAGGGTCAGAACAGGCCTATTCCATTGAACAACAGATCAAAACGTAAGTGGATATTCGTTATTATCTGTGTATAGATTTATTTCATCCAGAATTGATAATTTGCTTGACTTACGGAAAACGTTCTTGCGGATGACCTGCCACTATTGGTGTTATTTTTAGTAAGGTTTATCTGAGATCCTTTCAAAGTCAAACTCATCATGTTTACATATCACTATGCAGTTCGAAAAAAATCCGATTGACGCGGCCTTCAAATTACATAGTACAAACAATTAAATAGGCAATTTGATAGACTGTAGAAAGATTCACGTTTTGGTAATTCTTTAAGAATAAAAATCTGTATCTGCGCATGCAACTCTTGAACAAGTTGACTTTAGACACACCACTTCTACGAGTATATTAGAAGAATTTCTTTCTTTGTCCTGCTATACTCCTTGAGACTTCCGACATACTATAAATTGATCATTTAAAGTGATACTGCCACTCTGTCAACAGCATTAGAAATGAGATTCAGTATATCAACTGGCATAATGAATCACTCATAACACTAATCGTACATGTGTTCGTCACTTTAAGTATTTTCGTTGCATTCAGGACTACTTTTATTGAGAAGTGACTGCTTGGATGCATTCTCGTTGTCTGTGTCACATCATGGATTTAAGGAGATTATTGAACACACCAATGTTGATTCTAGTTTATATCCCACATATTGCCTCTAAATTTTTGGAGATGTAAGATGTAACTGATAGTATACTGAAAATATCAAGTCATGGGTACCTATGACATCTGTATCACTCTGTGACTGAAGTGAAGCAATAAGTGTTCCTTTCGGGAAGCACTTTCTGACACTTGGATGCCCAGTGCATATGTCTTATCACCGTATGTGATGCTGACATGAGTCCATTCGTTTGGATTTACTTAACGCACTGTTATGATGATTGGACACCAGTAACTAGTGTGATATGTCTAGTCCTCTATTTGTTGCTGACTGAATTCCTTGATGGCAAGCTACCTGAAATCGTGGACACATTGCAAAACCGTCTAACAGAACTAAGTCCTCGTCAAAGAAAGGACTAGACACATCATACTAGTTACTAGCGTTCAACGAAGGTATCCAATACAATCCTACAGGAGGTCGATCGCGAGCCCAAATCGCTCGGTTGTAACGTCTCTCACCGCATCACGGGGTGATGCAAGTTCGAATCGCCGAAGGGATATGACTCCCTTCAACGTCACAGATAAAATTTGTTAACGACTGCCAACTGGCATGAAGTCTAGGTCCAAGGCTTCCTGCTGATTGCCTCCAGCCATCTAATATCAGCACTTAAAAGTTGTCTGCAGTGCGAGCTCACTGACACTGTAATGCTGTCTTCTACAAGTCTGTAGTTATCGGAACAGAGAACTGAAGAAAATCTAATGTGCCTAACTTTGTAGCGTGGATAGCTTGAATATAATGTTCAACGATGTGATTGTGTAGGCCGAAAACTTTTTGGAAAACCTTGAATATAGTCCATCGAACCTAGCTGTCTTTAATGTATTTAGTTTTTAATGAGGGATTTTATTAATTTCAGTCGGCTTATTTAATAAGCATGTCTTCTGGTGGAGCGAACTGGGCCACAGATGTGCGTGATAACGACTTCAGTGCAATGTCCCTCGTGTTTTTGTTTGTCACTGCTTGTCACTTATCCCCGTCTCATTCCATTATATCCGTGACAGGGGTCATCTTGAGGACCCTATGAGTCATCCTATTCTTTGAGTTTCATTGGTGAGACTAATTTCAGTGTTCCGTTTTATTTTAGCAAATTACTTTTCTAACTGCATTAGTCAGTATCCAATTGTTGTAGCATTTATTTCTAGCTTCATTTTACAGCTTCCTGGTATGTACAAAAACGACGGGTAGAAACTACGAGGTATATGCAGTCAGCTATGGCTACTCAGAGGTAGTCTGCGAAAATTGAGTTCAGAACAACAAAAAGAGTGGCCAAGTTGGGACTACATCATCTCTATGATTCGCAAGTCTTTCATTATCTCCTGGATGAATGGTGGAATTCCGTTATTTTAACTAGTTTTCCGCTTCGGTTGCTCTACGCTGCGCTTTCGAAGATAAACGTCCAAAAACGAAATTGGCCAAGTGCAGAAATAAAAGCTGTCACGTTGTAATTTGGGCAGTTACTTTGATTGGATATTCAGTTTCCAAAGACAGCTACCCTTTCCTTATTCAAACAGATTGTAGCGGTAAATAATTCCCCAAAATTATTGACCACAGCAATCACTCATTGGATGCTGACCACCACTGTTTAAGTCGACTTGTTTAGCTGAAGGCTTCCGGTCAAGCATCCCCGCCATTTGGTACCCCGTCGTGTCACGTGCACGATCACTAGCTAGCTAAGCGTTCGTCTGACGGCTTGTTTTGGTCCCTAAATATATCACGTGGTTTGGACGATCAATATTGGCTTTTGCTTTGTTTTGGTACGCGAGAATTAATAAATTAGAAGTTGCTGTACAAGAGATTCCGTCAACCTCTAAACTGGTGAGCCCAACCGCGAACTTCATCCACGATAAATCCGCAGATAACCCCGGTGAGTTCGTTCCATTTTGTATTTGTTCTTGTACCATATATTATTCGACATAATTTTCGTCATGAGTGATCTTAGTCCCAAGGTCATCCGTATCCGCTCAACTCCTAAAACCATTCAGCTCGTACCATACTGGCCAGATAATGCTGAAACGTGGTTTCTGCTAGCTGAAGCAGATTTTTGTGAGCATGGGATAACCGATCAACGTTCACAGTTACTTGCAGTTATTCACGCCCTACCGCGGGAATTCAGCAAGTACGTAACATCACAGATGTTCAGTCCCGAGGTAAGTAACTCGTACGAGTTGCTCAAAGCATCCCTCCTCAGGAGAAACGTTCTCACGGACCGACAACGTCTAGATGAATTATTTCGTAACATCGAGTTAGGAGATCAGTCAGCCGTGAGCATGCTGACAAGAATGAAACAAGTCGTCGGCCAAAGTCAGTTCGACGAAGGACTATTTAGAGAACTCTTCTTAACCAAGCTGCCACAGTCTGTACAGACCGTACTTGTGACACTTCAGGGTACTGTAATAGAGGACTTAGCTATTACTGCAGATAGGATTCTAGAAATAACCAAACGGTCTGTTCCCGAAATATGCTCGATGACTAAGCAGACTTCGAGTAAGGATCCTGCAATGATAGAGTTATGCAACTCCCTTCAGCAGATGTTTAGGTCAAACATGCATTCTAAATCCTCCGACCGTCGTCCTAAATCTCCTCAACGCAGGAACTCACGTGGTCGATCTAAGTCCAAACCACGTTCACTGAAAAACCCTGACTGGTGCTGGTACCACAACACCTATGGCCAAGAAGCGAAGTGTTGCCGTAAGCCTTGTAACTTCGGAAATGTCTCAAAGTCTGTGGGAAACTATCCCGCCGGCACGCGTTAGCGGCAACCGTCGCCGGTGGCACTAGCCGCCTACTTTACATCCATGATGTGATAAGCCAGACTCGATACTTAGTCGACACAGGCGCCGAAGTCAGCGTCCTTCCTGCTACAGCAGCAGATCGACAGAAGGAACCTACCTTCAACTTACAGGCTGCAAATGGAAAACCAATCGCAACCTTTGGTAGGAAATACGTCTATCTGAACGTAGGTTTACGCAAACCTATTCGGTGGATTTTCCTTCTCGCTGACGTTACAATGCCCATCATTGGCACGGACCTACTTAATCATCATGATTTACTCGTAGACGTCCGCCGAAAACGACTGATTGACAATACTACTAGTCTGTCTATCAAAGGCATCAGCTACATAGGCCCTAGTTTGTCACCCGTTAAGATAAAGGCAATTCTTGATCCAACTTTTCAACCTATTGTTGACAAGTATCCGGAACTTAATTGCCCGTCGAACGACCTACCGTGCATAACCAGCAATGTTATGCACCACATCATTACCACAGGACAACCTGTGACATCTAAAGCACGACGATTAGCTCCTGACAAACTGAGAATCGCCAGGAATGAATTTGACCATATGCTTACCCTTGGCATCATTCGACCTTCGAATAGCCCATGGGCATCCCCACTTCATATGGTTCCGAAAAAGGATAGCAATGATTGGCGACCCACCGGTGATTACCGGCGAGTGAATGCCAAAACAACCCCTGATTGCTACCCGTTGCCTCATATACACGACTTGACGGCAACCTTATCCGGCGCGACTATATTCTCCAAAATCGACTTGGTTAAAGCGTATAACCAAATCCCGATGGCAACAGAAGACATCCCGAAAACGGCTATCATTACGCCTTTCGGACTTTTTGAATTTCTACGTATGCCATTCGGTCTTCGGAATGCAGCCCAAACATTCCAACGCTTCATTGACGAAGTATTTCGCGGTCTCGACTTTGTATACGCATACTTAGACGACTGCCTCATTGCCAGTCCAGACAAGGAAACTCACCTTAGGCACTTGGACTTGGCATTTGAAAGGTTACGCCAACATGGTGTTACCATTAATATTCAAAAATGTCAAATCGGTGTTGACTCACTCGACTTCCTGGGTCACACTATTGACTGCAAGGGCATTCGCCCACTGGCTACTAAGGTCGAGGCTATACTGAACTTTCCAGAGCCACAGACGGTGAAAAGTCTCCGCACTTTTAACGGCTTAGTAAGTTATTATCGACGCTTTATTCCCAACTGTGCCTCTTTGATTCAGCCATTGACAGACCTCCTTCGAGGGAATAACAAGTCCATAGAACTTGACGCGTCTGCTCGAAATGCTTTTACCCAGATTAAAAAAGCTATTGCGAATGCCACACTTCTGATGTATCAGGATCCAACGGCACCGTTAAGTATCTCGGTTGATGCATCAAACACTGCAATCGGCGCAGTTCTACAACAGCTAGTTGACAATGAGTGGCAACCACTCGCCTTTTTCTCCAGGCGCCTTCAATTAGCTGAAACGAAGTACAGCACATTCGGCAGAGAACTTCTGGCTATGTACTGTGCTATACGACATTTTAGACATTCGGTAGAGGGTCGTGAATTCATAATTTTTACTGATCACAAACCTCTGACGTACTCTCTGAACTCACCTTCAGATAAGTATTCACCCAGGGAATCACGACAACTGGATTACGTCTCACAGTTTACATCAGATATTCGCCATGTATCCG